CTCCTCAAGAGTCTAGCTATAAACACACTATATCATCCAGATAAATAACCATAAATTTGTCCAAGTATTCTCAAAATACATTGGTCATCAAGTTACATAATGTAGCAGGGGCATTTGTTAAGCCGAAAGGCATGACTAAAAACTCATATGAACCGTACCTCGTCACACAACGGAGTCTTTGCCTCATCTCCTTCTTCAATTCTGACTTGATGATATCCCAACCCCGCAAGTCCATTTTAGTGAAAAAACTGCCTTCTCCAATCTATCAAACAATTCGTCAACAAGCGACACTGGATAGTTGTTTTTTGACAGTACTTTGTTGAGAGCTCTGTACAACACAAAGCCGTAAGGCATCTATCCTTCTTTTTTGAAACAAAACAAGGGCTCCATAGGGTGCCTTGGAAGGTCTAATGAATCCATGTCCAACAGACCCCCAAGCTGTCTTCTTAGCTCCGCCAACTCTAATGGAGACATTCGATAAGGAGCCTGAGTAAAGATTTTTGCCCCTAGAATCAACTCGATGACAGGATCAATCTCTCGTCTAGGTGGTAATCTTGCTGACAATTCTTTGGGTGCCACGTCCTTGAATTCACCAGCAATTGTTGCAACTGGTTTAGGGACCTTGCACTGTTTTGAACTCCTCTTCCTCAAACAGAAACAACCAAGTATGTTGCTTCTCTTCTCCGCAAGCCATCTTTTACTTGCAAGGCTTATAGCATTTCTCCCGAAACTTGGCCTTAGTGAGGGGAACAAAACAGGGGCTAGGCAATGTCCATCATCAACCCCCTCTTTGCCACCGTCTCCTCTTGCGAATGCATAAGGAGTTGTAATGGATTGACTCGTCTTGGTTCGTCAGAACAGTCAGTTTTCCTCAACCATGAGGCACTGAGCTTTTCCTTCTTGGGATAATTTTTGGCACGATGAGGGTCATTACAGATAAAACAGCCTGAGTCAACACCTCCCTTTGATGAAGAGGGCTTGTCAGTCTGTTTTTCTGCGCTGCTAGACTTCTCAGCCTTTTTTCTTCTGCTTTGTCCTTCTTAGGGAACTTGGCTTTCCTTTTTGATTCCTTCTCTGGAGGATTTGCTTGCGACTTGTAGTCAACCAACGCATCTACTGCGGATATAACAACGGGTAAGTCCTTCACCCCTTGGCAACGAAGTTTAGCCTGCGCCCAAGTTTGAAGGCCAGACATGAAATTGAACAACTTATCTTCCTTCGACATATTTTTGATATCCAGTATCAGAGACGAGAATTGCTTCACGTACGCCCTCGCGGTACTTGTATGTCGAAGTTTCCTCAATGTATTCACGAGCTTGCCAAGCCGTGTTGCTCAGAAGGATTGCTCCTTCATTTCAACAGATAGAGACTCCCAAGTCGTAATTGGAGGACGAGACTTGTCCTTAGATCGTGTTTGCCACCATAATTTCGCATCACCAAATAGGTACATGCTAGTGAGATCTACCTTTTCAACATCCGGTGAACGGACTGCTTTAAAGAAGTGCCCTATATCTCACAGAAAGTTTTCAAGTTCTTTAGCGTTACGACTACCTGTGAAAGGCTTAGGGTCAGGAACCTTAGCTTTCTCAGTGCTTTCACTGCCAGAAGCCAAAGAAACATTCTGCAGTGCCTTTTTGAGCACTGAAACGTCCATCTATAGGGAACTCAATTTTTCCCCCATATCATCGGTCCATGTGAAAATCGTAACCATCACGTCAACGACTTCGTTTTTCACTAGACTGAAGTGATCAGATTCAGTCTTTTGAAGCTATTCTTGTGCAACACGCATCTTTTCAAACTGCTGATACAACTCAAGTTGCACAGAAAGGGCCACAGGTTCATCGGACCAACCAACTCCTCCAAACGTGCCACCCTTTCCCTCAGATCTGCATTTGTTCCGCCAGCCATAGTTGATCTTTTTGCCAAAACCAACGCTCTGATACCAAACTATTACGGGATAACAACTCATTTTTCGTTTCGAGGCTATCTGTGAAGGCGTTGCTACTACAACCAGCCACTCAATCTCAAGAACAAGGGACAAAAACTCACACAGAAGGCACACACAAATTTACTAGGACAACACTCCCAAACCTTATATATTGAATTCAACAATTTACAAGGAACTCTCAAAGCCATAATACTCTCTCTGACTATCAGAATGCCCAAGCACTCCCATTTATACAAGATCATGGCAGATGACACCCTCATTTGCCAAATGGTATTTACCCACATTCTACTATTCCATAGCAGACTTGGCCATCTGGCTTCATCTTTGTGCAAAACCTGGCAGGTAGTTTCACCCATTCAGTAACTGATGTGAAACTGCCCCTCATTAGCATGCATCTGGACCAGAATCTGGCTAGGAATGCCCAGAACTGCTTCCCACAGAATAAGCCTTATTCAGCAACTGCCCACATCCTCCTGGTCACATGCATTGAGCAGCCATGTGCCAGTTATGTGTCCAAATTCAGTAGCCAGCCTTGCCTCACGAACCATTGTGCATGCTGGGTTCAGCCCATGCCATGCAATTCGAAGTTATGCACCCACATTGCCTCAATTGAGTCCACCACGTGTTGCCATGCTCGGCCGGGTGGTCTCATGCTGCCACAGTCCGCACCAATCTGTTGAACCGCATAGCCGCATCACCTTGATTCAATCTCATGGCGTGCCTTGGTGCAAGGTGCCACGAAGACCGCCATTATACACCCAAGTCAGTTAGGGTGTGACAAAAACCCAAGAGTGCCCATTGTACTCATCTCAATTAAACATTCGTATATAAAAATCTACGACGACGCTGCAGAGGAGTAAGAATACAGAATTTTGAAAGCATGCCAAGTTGAGGAAAAACATATTTCTACGTCTATGTGAGCTTTGAATATCAACACAAAGAAGAGGGAATAGCAAACAAAGGCCAACAGACACCCAAAAGTGACTATTGCACTTTGTTACCTAAAAATTCAAGCAAATTGAAGAACAACATCTTTACAAGTCTAGGCCAGCTGAATCAATGGTGTTAAGATGATGAGTGGCCATATACCAAACCAGAAGAAAAAGAAAATAGGGCACTATAGTTATCTAGGAAACTCAGATAAGAAGATAAATCAGACATCTAAAATAATGCGGCAAAGTTTCAATCAACACGTATCAAACAATATGTGCAGATAATGTAATCAAATTTGTTGAGAAAGCATACCATCCATTTGGTGGCTCGTCAATGTGGAAATCGAAGTATACATACGTCCCCTGTTCAAAATCATCAGTGGCAACTTTTGGCTCCTCATGCCGTTGAAACCATGTATTAAATTTCTTATGGTATCTCCATGATTGCTTCTTCAACTCTTTAGCAGCCAGATATTGCTGATAGGTATTCTACAGACACAATAAGTTGAGACAAGATCTTGGACATTATGCCACTACAATTATGTTGCAATACAAAAAAGAAAACTAACAGAAAACTCAAAAACCTGTTGGTAGTAAAATGAAAAGAAGAGACTATCTGTGCCGAAATTATCGGCTCCAAGACGTTCCCAGAAGGCAGGATTGTTAACAATGGGTGCCTGTACTTGAGGATAGCTTGGAGGGGTTACAGCAGGGTGCCTCTGCAAGGAGCCAAAAAAAATGATAAATAAAATTGAATTTATACAAGTGGAGTCACAAGTTACAGATCAAAGGACTTTCATACTGGAGTATAATTCCTTGCACGTTCCGAGTCCTTGGGTTGAGGAAGTTTATAGAAAGCAGCCTCAAGCATCTGTAAATTATATAACTGATCATGCATTCCCCCAGAATTCACAGTTGTTCCACCAAGGTTATCACCAATAGCACCAAGGTCAGAAACACTCCGTCGACCAATGACACCAAGGCTGCCAGAAGGTTGATTGGAAGCTAATGGTTGTCCAGGGGACAGATCAATATCCCTTGGCAGTTGGGCAGGATCTGTCAAAGAACCAGACACTCCGGCCTGCAGTAATAAACAAAAAATGACTTTTGAATTGCATAGTCACCAAATCGGCAAATAAATCCTCACATATTAGAGAAAAAACACAAGAAAAGTTTCTCATAAGGTCAAAAAAATTTGCACCATCCTATATTTCAAAAAAAGAAAAATGGTTTCAACAATTAAACCACAAACAAGGTTTCAAATGCTCTATATTCAACTAAAAACAATTAACTTTAGACCTAGTTGAAATAGGACAGTTTACTATAGAACCTAGTAAGCACGGATACTGGATATGAATACAACACGATACGGTAAAATCTTAAAAAGTATAATATGATATGGCCAAGATAAGTCTATCTTGTTATATGTATGTGTGTGTGTGTGTGTCTATATATAATACAATATTGCTATAATACTAGGATTTGAGGGATTAGGAGATAAAACATATCCCAAACTAAAACATTTTATATTGGTGTGACATGGCCACATAGGGACTGCACAATGGTGTTTTAAATCCAATGCTTTATGTAATCCTAAAGTTGAATAGGTGTCATTCTTCGTGAGTTCTCACCTTTGACTTAGCATATAAGTGCAATAGAATTCATTGGTTTTAACATGAGCCATAAAAAATGATTACTTAGTCCAAGTAAGTTGTAAAAAATTCTCAAAATTTAGGCCAACACCATTCTGTCTAGGGTGCATGAATCCACATACCTTCTCAATCACAACAATTCTCTATAGGATGTATGTAAGGAGCTTCCAATCCCTAACTTTGCCCTGGGCACAAACTTATACTACTAGACCACTTAGCATAAAGATTAAGTCAACTCTACACAATTCACCGGACTAAGTATTAGGAGCATGTATCCACCCTATAGATATGTGTATCTGAGGTGTATCCAACAAGTATCTAACAATAATAAATATTTGGTTAATTATTTGATAACTGCGGAAGGTATCCGATATATATACTAGAGTATCGATAACAGATACAAATACGTCACTCCAATCGAAGTATTTGTGGTTCTTAGTATAAAAACTATCATATGTGAATATTAAGGCCAAGTTTAAGTAATGATTTGCTGACTATGAATCTTATTACTCAAATCCCCCCAATAGAAGGTTCCAAGTTTGCAGAACTCCCGCATACGAGTTATAACACATGTACAAGCGAAAAACACTTTTTGATTCCTGTAATGGCCTTTAAAACCATATTTAATTACCAAGGTTTCAAGGTTAAAGGGTTCTGGCTGGAGTTAGATTTCAATCAACGACTACAATAAGTTAGTACACATAAAGTGGGCAATGGCAGTAACAACTGTTAAAATGGACTAACAGATTGCGAAGATGACATTTGGCAAACAATGTGGTAGTTAGACAAAAATCCTTAACAAATGACACATGCAATGAAGAACATGTGTCCCATCATGCATTTTAATACAATCAGCACGAGATGACAATTCAAAATTGACTAGATTTTCACACCAAGCAGATGCTACACTGTAAGGGTGCTATTCCTAAGCTCCCAACGTAAGAATCATGATGAAATAACATTAGGATGGGAAAGTACAAGGTGATGTGATGAAAGTTGCACCTATAGGAAAAACTTAGTTACAGTATGCATGATTAAGAACACATTTCACTCATTTTGCTGTGAGTGGATTTTTCAGTAATAAGTTTGTTATTAAAAGTTGCCAATCATAAATATGTTGTATTGCAGATAACAAGTAAGAACAGCTTACTAATACGAAAACCATTGATTTAATAAGAAAATCCTATAAAGCATAACAAGGGGTGAATACAGTCATAAAACACTGGGTCCAGGGTAGCCCATGTTCTTTGACAAAACCCGTCCACAAGTTTAAAGGCTCGACAACGAAATCCACACATCATCACACAAGGGCATGCAACTAATGCAAGTGAATACGAACTAGAACTAGTAGATGGAGCTTTGGCAAGGAGTATTTGGGAGTGTGGATTTATGTATTGAGTTTTTCTTCCCTCAAGTGGGTCCTCTGGGGGCATTGTTGTTATGTATAAGGATGTGGTTAACTCATCACTCTTTTGGAGATAAGTGCTACCGAGTGATGATTGAGCTGAAGGCAAAAGGTGGGAGGGTATCAAAAAGGTTTTTAGAGATGTCATACTTAGAAAGTCAAAGATTTTGAGGAAAATTGAGGAATTATTAATAGTTTGGAGAATAATAATATATTGGCCATCGATCAATTTAAGAGAAAAGACCTCTTTTGAAACGAGTAAGGGGAGGTATTGTGAGGGAAAAGACTAGTTGTAGGTAGCATTGTTATCAAAATCATATAATTCGTGATTTGATTCCTACGATTCAATTCGATTTGATCCCCATTCAATTCCTATCTTACTAGAGAATCATTTTTGACAAGAAATCGCAAGAATCATGCAATTCGATATGAATAGTAGGAATCGCACGATTTGTTTTATTTCTTTTAAACCAAATTTCTAATAAAACGGCATCATTTTCCTAGAAGATGCCCACGGCCAAATATAAAACTCATCTCTCTCTGTATCTCATGTTTGCACCTCTACATCTCTCAGCAACTGTTCCACAGAGACAACGTCTCCTTCACTCCAATTATGCTTCTTATTTTTCATCATCTATCAAACCCTAACACATCCTACAACTTCTTCAACACATGCTTTGATTTTTGCTTTTAATGAAAAATTTATTTTTTAAGGGTAATTATCATTGACACCCCTCCTAAATCGGCATATCTTTAATGAAATCACCTCTATTATTTAAAATATCACTGATATCCCATGTTAGATTAATTACGTTAACTAAAATACAATTTTACTAAATTGTCCATGATATATTTAAAAAAAACTTCATTCATATCCCTTTTAGATAGACATATCTTCACTGACAATAGCTATTTCATCGTGGCCATTTTAATGGAACAATTTATTATGCATTAAGAAAGAAGTAACAGAGGTACATACTCAAGTGTAGCTTCCTATTATTGTATCAAGTGAATACACATTGTTTATTTTTAAAATATAGTAATGTTCAATATTTAATATCTTGCCTATTTTAAATATATACATATTTTTTTTTTTATCTTTGTTCAACTTTTTTGTCGAATCTTACGATTCCCAATTCTCAACTCTAGGGTTTCGATTCCCAATACAAATCTCAATTTGATAACTATGTTAGGCAAAAGATGAGATTTAAATGGATTATAATACTAAGTGTTCCCATAGAATAACAACTGATAGGAGGAAAAAGAGTGTCATTAGAGGACAAGAAACTGAGTAAGTGAGCTTGTGACAAATCTTTTGTCGATTGCCAAGGAGATTATTGAATTTAACAAAAGCCAATATGCAAAAGATGTTCATGTTAGACCAAATATTGAAGGTGTTGATTAGAGTCCTATATTGTCATGGAGAACGAATTGGCGTGAGATCATTCGAGGAGGAGGAAATTAGAATATCTATGTATGACAAGGATAAGGAAAAGGCCTAAGGTTCTAATGGTTTCAATATGTCTTTCTATTAGAATTGTTGGGATAATATTAAGGATGACATTATAAGGGTATTCAACGATTTTTTTTCTAAGGATGATATTATGAGTGTATTCAATGTTGTGGGGAAAAGCATTAATCTTACTTTTATTACATTGGTTCCCATATGTAAGAAGTCACAAATCTCCATTCTCCTTATTCCATCCTAATACATCACCCTTTGGTCTCACTCTTTGTCTCTTTGGTTGTGTTGCATTTGTTCATCTTCTTGAACCGGATAGGGATAAATTTTCCCCTTGAACGGTTAAGTGTATCTTTATGAGATACTCTCGTACTCTAAAAAGTTACCACTGCTACGACCTTGCCTCTCGTCGAGATTATGTCAATGCCGATGTCACTTTTTTTTTTTTTCTACTTTAGTAACTAGTCAGAGGAACTTATGTTGTCTTGTGTACCTAATTGAGTCTCTTCTCCATGTTCTCCTTTTGACCATCCATTACAGGTTTATCGTCATTTCACGGACGGACATGTTGTTTCATATAATACAGCGCCCCGACTACCCCCTGATTCTACTGAGGTCCTTCCTTCTAAGATGTCTAGTCTACTGTATCACCCTCTTTTGATTTGCGTATTACATTGCGGAAAGATACTCGTACTTGTACCTAGATCCCATATCTAATTTTGTCTCTTTGCATCAGCATTGTCTTTTTTATTTGTTCTTAGCTATTTGAAACAGACATTAACATCTCTTGGATGGAAACTGACTATGAATGAAAATAATACTTGGGACATTACTTTTCTTGGGTGTAAAAAACAACTTTTTAGTTGTCGCTTACAGTATGAAATATCATCCTGATGGCTCTGTTGAGCGTTTGAAGAAACGATTAGTTGTTAAGGGTTACATATAAACATATGGTGTGTATTACTGTGGGACTTTCTCTCCTATTGCTCATCTTAAATCTGTTAGAGTTCTTATTTTTATTATAGTCACTTCTGGCTGTCCTTGTATCAACTAGACATAAAGAATGTCTTCGTACATAGAGATCTACCGAAAGAGGTTATATGATTCAACCTCCAGGTTATGTTGCTCCATGCTAAGAAAAATTAGTGTATCATTTGAACAAAACATTGTACGGCTTGAAACAATCACCATGTGTTTAATTAGATAAGTTTAGTAACGTGTTACTTAAGTTTAGATTTTAGCACTCCACCTATAATCATTCAGTTTTCATTCATTGGGCTTCCGCAAGCATTATTGCTATTATTGTGTATGTTAATGACATCACTATCGGTGTTAATGACTCAGATGGTATTGCCCATTTCAAGAACTATTTGGAAAAGTACTTTCATACTAGAAACACTATTTGGGAAAGCAGTTTCATACTAAAAATTTAGGTCTTCTTCAATACTTCCTAGTTATTGAAGTTGTTCGATCAAAAAAAGGTATTAGTCTGTATGCCAGTAGAAGTATGTACTAAACTTACTAACTAAAACTGATACTCATGGTGCACATTCGATTGATACACCTATGAACTCTACAGTTAAGTTAGATCCTGCGAGTGATGAAGTATTTAATGATACAGGACGTTATCGAAGGTTGGTTGGTAAGATGATTTACCTTACAGTTACACATCCTGATATTACATATATTGTTGGTGTGGTTGTTAATTCATACATGGTCCTCGTCAAACTCATTGGGGGGCTGTCTGTCTGTCCGTCTTATACTTTGATATCTAAAAAGAACTCCAGAGAAATGATTGTTATATCGTCCATCAGCATCCACTACTATTACTGGTTTTTCTGATGGACCCTCTTGCCGTTGCTAACGCAAGTATGCTTTTCAATCTTTTTCCTTAACCAACACGCATAAGCATAAGATAGATGCTTTCACTCCACTTGTTTTTCTATCACCATTTTTCAAGTGCAAAACCCGATCTTTTTGTCTCAAAAAAGATTCCTCCGCATCAAGCACTGCATTAAGTTCATATAGTTTTTGAGTTTCATCCATCGTTGTTTGCTCAATGCTGAATGGGCTAGTAGTCATGGTGATAGATGATCTACTTTTGGTTATTGTATATTTGTCGGTGGTAATCTTGTTACTTTAACCTACAAGAAGTATCAAGCTATGGCAGACACTTCTTGTGACATGTTACGGGTCCGCTATTTACTTCATGATATGGGATTTGACGTGCCTTCTCCTATGCAAATGCATTGTGACAATTAAACAACTATTTTCATCGCAAGTAATCCGCTACTTCATGAGCGTACCAAACACATTGAGATAAATTATCATTTCATTAGAGATCTCTTAATGCGAAAGGAGATCATCACTCCATACATGAAATCTGATGATCAACTGGGTGATATTCTTACCAAACAATTGGTTAGTCCTGCCTTCAATAGTATATGTTCCAAGCCGGGCAATTTTTTTCTTTATGTTCCAGCTTGAGAGAGAGTGTTAGAATTCTTAAATTCAATATTAGGCATAAGCCAAATTAGTCTAGGGAGAGAGTGTTAGAATTCTTAAATTCAATATTAGGCATAAGCCAAATTAGTCTAGGGTAATATTGTAAGTGTCTTCATATTGGTCAATTACGAATAGAGAGTGTAGGGCAACCTAGCTACTATAGTAAATATTCTCTCCTTCCTTCTCTACCTCCTAACCCCAACACTAATACTATAGTTATTGTTTTAACTGTCAAATCTCAAATTTATCACTATGGAATCAATGGACAACATAAATCTCGTGTTTTTTTAAAACATTTTATTGAGAAGTTCCACCCCGAGCCTAATGTTTCCTTTATTTTTACAATAAGCAACATATAGAATGATGAATTCCCCAATAAATTCCACAATAGGACTAAGGTATTTCCTCCAACATAAACGTCTCAAGACTTAAGTTCATATATGTTGTTAAGCTATATCAATTAGAAAGTTAAATCAAGTAGAGGTCTACATGAATTTCCTTAAACAGAACCAAGTTTCTTCGCATGCTTTCCGTAAAGTGGCAGGATTGATTGGGGCAATAAGAAGTGTTGCTTTACTCGCTCTGATTCGCGTGTATATATGCATATCTATACTCAAACAGCAAAATATTGGCATACAATCCCAATTATTATAAAAGAAAACCAAACAAGTTTCCAGAACAGTGAAGTCAAAATAAATATACTCAACATACTGGTGTATCTAAGGGGTATGAAGCCTTCAAATCGTCCTCATTCAAGAGATTCTTGTCAAGCCCAGAACTTGGAGCAGATTCCGTGTCCAAATCATCAGATAGAATCTGTTGCTGCTGCAACTCCTCAACTTTCACGTGACTGATCTCTGGATCATGCATTAATAACATGAGTCTAATCCAAGATTTGAATAAAACAATAATCCAATAATCACTTGGATAAAGCAAGAATCTAATAGGATATCTCAACAGGCGAGTACAATTACTATGCACGAAATGCATACCTTCAGCATTACATACTCTAGATATGCACTTCAATGAATCCTTGTACTAATTAACTTCAACTCATTGAAATTTGCCGATGCAAAAAGGTTAAAACACAATTTTAAAACTCACCCATATTTGAGTAGAACCATAACCATAGGTAAAATGAAACAGTTGGAATTGAAAGGCAAGCTAAACTCCATAACAAATTTGGCTCCTCCATTTTAATCAGTAGACCATGTTATAGCGTCACAATAGCATATCAAGCTGAAAGCAGCATAAAAACAGAAATACTACCAGCATCTTTAGATCCTGTAGATCCCTGTGGAGTAGATGGTTGATGAACCGAAGTTGGCTGCTGCTGTAAGGAAGCAGATAATGTGACATTGTTAAGACCTGCTGCTTGGACTCCAATCCCCAACCCAACTTGAGGCGAGACAGATGAGCTTTGAGAATTGAACTGAACACATGTTAAATGTCATGCAATGAATTGTTTTGGTACAGCAGTGTGAAACACCACACAAGAACAAAACTTTGCTGTTGAACCACCATAACTATGCTTAACATGCAAAATGATGACCAAAGGAGACTGCACATGCAAAAAAACTGCACAGGATTTTTTTATTTTTTTTGGGGGGGTGTGTGTGTGTGTTGTTAGCAGTCGCAACATCATGTAGAAATTCTTAGCAAAGTAGGCTATGAAATCACAGAGATGTCCCCACTTCTAACAAACCAAAGTTCTATTGATGTAAGTACTATTTAATCTTAAATATATATATATAGAGAGAGAGAGAGGTTTTGGTTATGCCCAGGTGGCAATGCATACCCTGCCCACTAGAGTAGACACCCGAGTTTTCCCCAAGATTTCCTAACTGGCCAATAATACAATCCAAGAGTACAAATCTAATGCTTCTTGTTATGTTATGTTATGTTATATTAGATGTAACCCTTAAGGGCATTTTTTAGTACTTTCTAGTTATATATATTGCAATGTATGTAACCCTAATACACACTACTCTTTTTCTCCTAATCTCTTCTTTGTTCTTCTCCTCATTCTATTATCTTCCTAACCCTAATTACATTATATTCTAACTTAGTATCAAAGCATCAATTTAAATTTAAAGTTCAGATATCATCGGAGATCATCAGAAAACTCATCACTGACAGTCTGACATCATCAATGACAGCTGATGTCAAAACTGTCAGGCTGACATCAACACCCAACTTGGTCAGAAAAATTTAAAATTTCATAGGTAGATTCAATTCCTCATGCTGAGAATTATGGATATTTTTTTGGAATTTTTTGAACCAATTTGACTGGCCTTTCATTTTTCAAATGTTTTTGGCTTTTTTAGGCTTCAAGCTCTGATCTGGAAAATCTGCACAATCCAGTGGCTATTTCTTGTTCAATCCTCGTGCGTGAGTTGTGACTGGGGCTGTTCTACAATGTCATGCAGTTTGGTTGTGTTTGGATTGGATTTGTTGGGTTTTTAGCCAATTTTGACCTGTTGGTACCCAGATCTGGTACTGTAGCACCTGTTTCTGGTATTGTAGCTGCTGTTTTGGCTTGGATCTGGTACTGTTTTTGACTTGAAATTACTACCGTCTGTTGCACAGAATCCTCCTTTGCGCTGGTTGAGGTAATTTCTGGTTGTGGGCCAAATTTTTGGCTGTGATTTTGACTCATTGACTGTTGTTTGTGTTGATCCCACTGTCTCAACATGCTGCAAGGAAGTGTGACCCAGTACAAATTGGGTTGGGCCATTTAGGCGCTCTAGCAAACAACCCCTCCCTTCAAATTAGTCCAAGGAAGTTGAATGGGCACAATTATTTGGCATGATCATGGGCTTGCTTGATATTGATCCAAGCTATTTCTTTGGATGGATATTTGACCGGAGAGACTAAGAAAGCCTAGTGAGTCTGGTTCCTCATTGAAGTAGTGGAAATTAGAAAATGCGCTGGTTAAGTCTCGGTTGCTTAATTCAATGCAACCTTCTCTTAGTCGTCGTTTTTTGTGGCTAGATACAGCCCATAAGATTTGGACAGCCGTAGCACATTCATATTCTCAAAGCGGCAATGATGCTAAGGTGTATGATCTGGAAAAAGTCCGAGAAACTAATTAGAAAGATAAGACCCTTTCAGTATATTATTCAAAATGGACTACCTTATGGTAGGAGCTTGACTACTATCAGAGTTTCCAAGTAAATTGTGCTACTGATGTTGCAAAATTTCAACAGATGATAGAGAAAGAACATGTGTATGATTTTCTTGGTGGCCTTAACATTTGAGTATGATCAAATTCGGTTCATTCTCAGCAGGAGGAGGAGAACAGGACAATTGCTATGGTTCATGCACCTATTCAGGAGCAGTCTCCGTTAGTTGTGATTCCTCAGTGAGACTTGAGTTCAGCTGTGTTCAAGTCTATTGAGTCAAGTGACACTATTTCCAAAGATATATTAAAGTGGGACTATTATGGGAAGACCAGACACACTAGGGAGAGTTTTGCTATAAGTTGACTAGACTTTCTACACGTGGCCAAGATGGTGGCTGAGGTGATGGCCAAGGGAGAAATGTGCGATCTCATGTACACAAGACTAAATCATCACGAGTCTCCATCCCAGTCGACTACCTCTAATTTCTCTCCAGATGAGATGCAGACTTTTAGACAGCTGATAACTCGGCTTGATGTTTCTTCTACTCTAGCTCCTAACCATACTTCTTCCTCCAACTTTACTCATATAGGTACATCTACTAGTGTGTTTTCTGCTTCAGCTTCAAATACTCCTTGTTAGTGGCTTCTGGAGCCATAGACTACATGACAGGCTCTTCTAGTATCTTCTCTTCCTACTCTAAATGTTGGATAAAGTTAAGGTAGCAAATGTATGCTTAAACTTAATTTCTAGGAAAGGTTTTTTATTAATTGCTCACCTACCCTATCACTTTCCTCAATTTTCCATGTTCCCAATTTCTCCACCAACTTATCGTTCGCTAGTAGTATTACTAAATCCTCGAATTGCTCAGTGACTTTTTTTCTTACTCATTGTACTTTTCAGGAAATAGAATTGGGAAAAATGATTGGTAGTGGTCGAACACATGGTGGTTTGTATCTCCCAGATGATGAAGCTTCCCCTTAATCCACTTGTCATGCTCTTCAAGTAGATGGTGAGTCAACTCTTTAGATATTACATACAGACGTTTGGGCAATCCCTCATTCAACATTTTAGAGCATATTTTTTCTAGTCTAACAAAGCAATGTAGTACAAATTTTTTTGTTAGTGATGCTTGTGAATTTGTCAAGCACATTACGTTCTTCTTATCCTAGTAGTACTAATAAAAGCACTGCTCCTTTTGTTATCATTCATTTTGATGTGTGTGGACTTTCCTGTGTTGCCATTCTAAGGTTATCCTTGATTTGTCACTTTTATTGATTGTTATTCTCATCTTACTTAGTTTTACTTACTCTGTACTAAAAGTTAGGTTTTCTTTTACTTTCGCACTTTTCATAACATAGTTGGTACCCAATTTGATGTTAAAATCAAAGTCCTACACAATGACAATGGAACTGAGTACATTGATGGAGACTTTCGCTCCTATCTCACTACAAGTGACATATTTTATCAAACTGCTTGTATGGGTACTCCGGAGCAAAAATGGTGTTGCTGAGTAAAAAAATTGCATTCTTATGGAGATTGCTCGTTCATTGATGTTTACTATAAATGTTCCCTAACGTTTTTGGAGGACAGAGTTATTACCATTGCATATCGTATTAATTGTCTACTTTCCAGTGTCCTATAGTTTAAGTCTCCTACTGAGTCTCTTTTTAGGATTTTACTGATTCCTTCTATTCATCTCTTCCTATAAAAGTTTTTGGGTGTGTTTGTTTTGTACAAGACGATAGAGTCGCTAAGGAAAAACTTAATTCTAAGGCTTTGCAGCGTGTCTTTGTTGGTTATTCTCCCACTCAAAAGGGGTGTGAGTGCTAACATCCACCGTATCAAAAGATATATGTTAACATTGATGTTACCTTTCGAGAGTTTGAACCCTTTTTTTCTCCTCCCCAACCTTCTCTTCAGGGGGAAAGCACTAATATTGAGGAAGAGATGGTGGAATGTTAGAAGCCTTTTCTTCAATTGCCTTTCCAATGGGATACTAATAATAGGGAACAACAAATTGTTGGTATCAATGATCCACCTGGTACTCTGAAGATTTATTCTTGACATCAAAAGGTAAAAAGCACCCATGTGGTGTCAGGTTAGTTAACTTTCTCCACTCCAATTCTAGCATTTCCTACTGATTTAGCCGGCAATGAGCTTCCAATTGTCACCCCGTGTTATTGATAATCTAATTGTTGATGATTATGAGCTTCCTATTGATTATCTGGACACTTTTGCCCTTGTGACAAAGATGAACTTCATACGTGCCCTTCTGTCCCTTAAAGCTAGTTTTGAAATGGAGTCTGTTTGATGTGAAGAATGTCTTTCTTCATGGAGATTTAGAGGAGGAGGTATATATGAAGATTCCACATAGCTTTTCATCACAGATAACCTAAGGAAATGTGTGTAAGTTGAAGAAGTCAATTTATGGGTTGAAGCAATCACCTAGAGCCTAGTTTGATAGGTTCCTCAAAACCATGTTGAAATTTGAATATTATTAGAGTCATGTTGATCATACTATATTCATCAAACAGGTACATGACAAAATAGTAGTACTCATTGTATATGTAGATGGCATATTGATAACTGACAATGATGTGCGTGAAATCACCTAACTAAAAACTTCGTTGACTAATGAGTTTGAAATCAAAAACTTGAGTCCATTGAGATATTTTCTTGGAATTGAGATTGTTGGATCAAATAAAGACATTTTTATCTCCCAAAAAAAATAAGTTTTTAACCTACTTGAAGAAACAGGTATGTTGGGATGTAAACCTACAAATTCTCCTATTAAAGTCAATCATCGGCTGGTAAGTGGTGTTGGTGATATTGTTGATAAGAAGAGATACTAGAGATTAGTGAAAAAATTGATATATCTCTCTCACACTCGGTTGGATATTGCCTAGAGTTATAAATCAATTCATGCATGATCCTTCAGTCTCTCATCTTGAAGTTGTTCATCATATTTTGAGGGATCTCAAATCAACTCCAACAAAAGAGATCTTGCTCTCTAATAATAACTTAAAATTATAAGTATTCACTGAAGCAGACTGGGCTGGTTCAGTAGATGACAAAAGATCCACTTCAGGCGTCATGTCTAGTGCAGAGGCTGAAAATAGAGCTATGACCCATAGAGTTTGGGAGCTTATGTGGCTCCAAATTCTACTAGGTGAACTTGAAATTCATGGTGATGGATCTATGAGACTGTATTGTGATAATAATGTAGCTAGTCAGCTAGCAACATTGCACATAATCATATTCAACATGATAGAACTAAATATGTTGAGATTGATCGACACTTTATTAAAGAGAAATTGAACAAAGGTTTGATTTGCATATCCTTTGTGAAATCAAAAAACAAGTTGACAGATGTCTTCACAAAAAGGGCTTAATAACAAAATTTTTCATCCTATCATCTGCAAGTTGAGCATGAGAAGCATTTATGCGGGAAGTGTTATGTTATGTTATAATAGGATGTAACCCTTAAGGGTATTTTTGGTACTTTCCTGTTATATATATATTGGGATGTACCTATGTAAACTCAAATACACACTACTCACTTTCTCCTAATCTCTTATTTGTTCTTCTTCTCCTTTTGTTCTCTTCCTGACCCTAATTACATCGCATTCTAACTCTTCTTGAATAAAGTAAACGCATTGATAAGAACAAAAAATTCTCAAAAAATCTTACAATCACGCAACCATAAAGACAACGAGAAGGTTCTTGAATTCTTTCCTAAAGAAATATAATTTCCTATTTGAGGGAAGAACATTTATTGATGTTGTAGCTGTGTAGAGGGGGAAAACGCACCATAACGATGGTCCCTTAGAATGCCACCAAATGTAGAGGACTCTGGGCCTAAGCATGCACATAAATAATTAAGTACTCTACTCACGTGAAATGACTTAGACTATCGAAATAAAACATGAGGTCATTTTAGCAAAGCCCTTTCCAATGAATAAAATTAGACCCAATAGAAAAGTTGGGAGGTGTGTTCAATAGTCATCTACAAATCTAATCTTTTTGTTTCAATTAGGTCATCTACCAGAGAAGCTACGGACACCAATTTCACCTCAACTTTGTCTATATATTGTTTCAATATTCATTAACAATTGTCTCAAGCATGGACCGTTGAAGTGGCTCAACTAGAATTTACATGAGTAAAGCCCATCACAATCCAGCTTAAGAAGGGCCAACAAGATGATAGCATAGTAAGTGTGGACTGAGGGTTTAGTTTAGATTTGTATTCAAGCACACATTAACATCAATTGCACCATAAGCCAATAACAAATTCACACATATCAACTAGGATACAACACCTTGTAAGAGTACTCTACTTTGATTCAAAAATATTTTCCCTTTTTGGTTTTGTGGAGTTGTCAGGGGAGGGATCTTGTATAGTATGTATTGACATTACATTCGATATTTAAGAAAAGAAAGGGAGGTCAAGGGACAACATGATTTGAACTTTCCACCTTCTCAAATAATATCTCTTTTCGTAGCACATCATTGATAATGAGTCTCGTATGTGCAATCAACAATGAAAAAACTTTTAGCTTTAAAGAAACTTTAAGACTTCCAAATCACTAACTTCTCAAATAATATCTTTTTCTTCTACACACTCAATTATTGTCCACCTCTTTTCTGCGGTAGGTTATGTTTATAATAATTCTCGCGCAAAATGCCAAGTGTCAAGTGTCTAATAAGATATACGTATTGTCAAACAAACTAAAACTGCTCCAGACGAAACTTTTGCCAAACAAAAAATTGTCGTTGATTAGAATAGAAAGACATTTCTGTTTTTCGGACAAGTACAAATCATTAAGGTCCCATTTGGATAATAATAATCCTAATCGATAATGGATATCTCCTTCCTAGTAAAGGGATACCTATATTTCAAATATCGTAATAATCTATTATTTATGTTTGGTATCATCAATAATCTAGTACGAAAATGAATATCTATTTTATTAATAATTTTTTGAATGAACTAAATTTTGGGAAGGAGTCTTGATTTTGAATTTTTTTTTCCTTTTTAAGAATGCCCAATTAAGTTCGGTATAAGATTACCACTATTGATGATAGGTTTAAGATTCCGACCATCCAATGAACTAAATTTCGTTTCAAAACGGTCAAAACATCCGAAAAGAATCATTTATTGAATATCAGAATCCTTGTGTTTTGAAGTGTTTCGACCTATGTTTCAAAATGTTTCGACTAATATTTTGAAAATAAAATTTTTAAGTTTTTCTTTGTTTCCATCTTATTTCTAAATGTTTCTAAAATATTACCGATATGTTTTTGTTTCCAAACTCACCGACATTGTGCACCGAAATAAAATTTTGATCCTTGCCACCATCCCTAGGAAGTGTCGATAAAAATGAATCGAAATAAAATAAAGACACTCACCAATCGATCTTACTTTCACATGCTTGATATACTCATAAGTGAATGTAAACGGCTATTAAATTCTTAACGTCGACTAATTTCAAAAACGATTGATATCAACCTCACATCATTTACACCTGAATTTCTTGATGTTATTTCGAATTCTAATACACGTGCGAGTGGTTGTACAATTTTAGACTAGCTCTGAAATTACTCTTGAGAAACTCAAGTATTATAGCCGACATCTTTTAATTTGCTCTGAAATGTACTAGATGAAGAAAAGAATCAATTTAATGAATTGAAGGCATCACTAATTTCATTTTTATTTAGGTCTTATTTCATTTGTGCATGTCTTTTCAATTCAAATAATTCAATTTTAAATTCATGCTTAAAATAGTAGTTAGAAATGGTGAAAGGATAGGAGAAGTTGCCCAATTCGAATGCCTAACGTTTAAGTAGCCATCAGCTTGTGGTGCTGGGCCAGACAGCTATAGTGCTCCAAGGTGGAAGGCGGCCAGATAGCAGCTAAAATCTTTTCACTAATAAAAATGCATTCCTTTCACTCTCAAACTCACAAAACTCACATACCCACTCACCTATGGATCATCTCTTAGGTCCTAGCCATGGATCAAATTTCGTTTTGATGCATTGTTTTGGTTTCCTAGGATTGTTGGGGGAGGAGGTGGAGGGGTGGCGGAATGGTGTTTGCAATTGTGTGGGTGGTGTTTGCGATTGTGGGGTGTCATGATTCAAGATAACAACTTACATAAGATTAACCCGTTGGATACCCATATCCAATAGATCTAACCCGCTTAATTAATTGGACTATATTATCCAACCCATTTATAAATTGTAAAAATCAAGCAAGTACTCAAACCTCCAATTTGTAAGTGGACTAGGCAGCTTGGCAGATTATTATGGGTTAGGATTGCCACCCACACTCTAAAGGATCCACCGGAGAGCAAGACTATGTCCCAAATTATCTCCCCTTTAAGAGTACACTTCTCATCAGCTGCTAGAGGGGGGCCATCAGGTGCAGCCAAGAAGCAAGAACAAGATCCGAAACCACCATCGACTTAGGATCTGAAATTATCATCACCCATTCCACTTCTAGATCCAGAGCATGTGGATACTTGACTGAGCACATCTACTGCACCACTTTGTGCCAAGACTATTGATGCTGTGGGTTTAGCGAAGAGTTGTAGGATAAATGATCTCACGTGCATCCTCGGTCACCCTGATATAAGGGTTCCCGATTTGGCCAAAGACTAGGAACAAGCACATGTGCTGATGAGTGGTGCGCTGACTCGAACGAAATGATTGGTCCATTGTCCACCAGGTGCTTGGGATGATAACCACTCTGAGGATGGAGGAGATGGTCCTGCTTCTTAAGATACGTAGATTAGGGACACCTAAGACTAAGAGAGATATTTGTACTAGTGTCTTGATTCCATTGTAAACCTATCTTTTGTTGATGTCATTTATGTATACCATTGCTCTGTTTTTCATCTTAATTTGTCTTATTTTATGAATTGAAATGGATATCTTACTTTTGATATCTCTTTCTTATGAGCATATTTGCCCGACCATGGAAAAAAGGAAGAAAAAATATAAAAATTCCTATACATTTTGATCTATTCTTCGCATATTCACATCGATGTCAAATCATGGGGAATGGCCTAACAAGTGGAAGAGCATGTTCTTAATCCATTATTTGTTTAACTCTTGAGAATCATATATATGCAATATGTTGCAATATCTGTCATTTCTTTTGGTGCTTTTTATCACTTAATTTATACTTTTGACATTAGATTTATATTTTACTAATCCATCTGTATTCCACAATATATTTTATTTGAGTGATATGCAGCACTATTGACAAATACTACTTCATTGTTGACTATTACTTCATAGTGTAGGTAGTCAACTCGAGTCAAACTGTGTATTTATGCTACTGTGAGTTTGTGACCATGCAACTGAGTCAAAGAAAAACAGATGTAATTTATATTTTGGTCTCTAGTTTATTGAGTTGTATTTCTTTTTTCAAGTACACAAAGTACGTTTTGTCAAGGAATGCCAAAGGGAGACATTGTTAGGCTTTGATGTTGTTGGCATAATTATGTGAGTCACATATAGTCAAAAGAAATGCGTCATGAGTGCATTGGGTCATGTGCTTTCAAGATTAAAGACTGAAGTCCAATTGAGAAGATGATTGTGGAGTTACATCTTGGAATCTAACAGGTGGTAAGTTTACCTAGAGCTTCACCAACATCAGTCCTACCACCCTAAAAACAAACCTCAGAAATGAAGAAAAAAAAACTTAGGCTGGATACAAATTAAACCGAAAAAATAAAAAACTCAACATCAAAATATTAAGCTTATGAATAGGAAATTCATAAGCTGAACTTCATCAAAATATTCATTCTCCAGTTTGAATTAGTATTTCTCTCCCTATAAAGTCCACACAGAAAAAGTCAAGTGGTATATTAAAAATAAAATACAAAATATTTTGGAATTCATATTGTCATGACTTTAAATCAAAATTCATGAAACTTCACAACCCAGTTGTATCCAAACATTAGGCTTTCCAAAAGAAATCAGCTAACTCTACCCCTCCCCCCCCCCCCCCCCCCCCAAAAAAAACACACACACACACACAAAAGGAAAGATACCAAATAATTTTGAAGCACAAAAAGAAAGGAAATCATAAAAATGAAATTCAATATGCAAGCAAGGATCAAAATTTCGTTTCGGTGTATTGTTTCGTTCACCTAAGAAAATGAAACGTTTCAACGTGATTCGGAAACGTTTTGACCCATTTCGAAAACATAATAAAAAAATTAAAAAAATTAAAAATTATATTTTCAAAACATTGTTCGAAATATACCAAAATATCTTGAAATATTCCAAAATAATGATGCAAATGTATTAAAATATAACAAAACATTTCGAAACATTATGGACTACCTCGAAGTATTAAAATTTTGATTCCATCACTGATCCGTTTCAGTCTCTTTAGAAACGGAAACGTTTCAGTCTCTATAGAAACGGAAACGTTTCAGATGTTTTGACCATTTCGAAATGATATTTTGATCCTTGTATGCAAGCTTAATCCGAAAAAAGAATAATAAACAAAAGTAAAAAAAACACCTGCTGCAGGAGTGTGTTCTGTTGCTGTGCAGAAAACTGCTTGTGATTTCCTCCAGCTAGAGGAGGCATGCCAAGAAGAGTACTCTGACCTTGTTGCTGCACCTGCTGAAATCGCTGCAAGAACTTCTCCCTCTGATCAGGTGCAACACGGAACTGCCCCTGAAATATAGATAATAAATTGTCAATGAAACAGAAGAACACTTACTAAAAACACAATAAATTACCTAGCGTATAAGAATCATAAACGCACTGCATCAAAATTGGAAAACAGAAAAACTAGTTCCATGGCATTAAATACGAGGAAGGCTCACCAAAAGCAGTTGCACTGTTCAAAAAAATTGAAAATAGATTGACATCATACTCGAGGTTAATTTCATTAAGTCACACAGAGAGGGTAAGAAGCCAGAATAATATAATAAATTTTAAGGATGCACATGTTTTAGTAGAGTTTCTAGAGATTTATGTCGTCAACCTTGTTTGCACATATTTTTTTTTTTTTGAGGTTTTTTTTTTGTATATGCTCAATACATGAATTGTATATCCTTTTGGTGCATTCTAGTGATACTTAGTAAAGGAAGGACAGATCACATGGCTAAGCGCACAGTGCAGGTGTGAAATAAAGTCTCCAACAGGAGTATTCTTTAAAGGAAGGTACTAATGTAAATGGCTGCCATCAGATGCTGTTTGAATAGAATTTTTCAGGTAAGTAGGATTGGACATGGCAAAATATATACGCAATGCAAATCATTTAGGTCAACTCCAAAGCTAGAGATTTGAACAGGAAACATCATAACACAAGATTTCTTAACACATTAAAACAACCAACTGTTTTCCATTCAAAAATAATAGAAACACAAGACAAAATTTAATATATTAAAACTCCAGACAAGGGTGGAGCTATATTGGGACACGGACACAGGCACAGACACATATACATATACATATATATATATATATATATATATATATATATATATATATATATATATATATATATATATATATATAAACATTGTGTCTACACTATTACTTTCATATACACCCATGCCTAAATGGCTATGTACACAATCTTCAGACAAATTCAAATTAAGTTTTGAAGTATTGAAGTTCATTTTGTGATTCTTTTTTTTTTAAAGTTATGATATGGTTGAACTTGAAAGAACTTCTTATGCAAAAACCATAATGTGAAGATATTATTCCCACCTGATGAAATCGAGAGGGATTGAGCGAGTTAGAGAGACACCGATAAGAGAAGAAAATGCAATTGAGGACTGTGCAACCCTCCAGCGAGCTGCATCTTGCCTTTATATGAGATCTGGTGAGTCAGTGGCATCACTACCCATGAGTTTTTTCGAAAACTGTCAGGGTTTGTACCCATGATAATTTTGCTTGTTTAGCTTGTTTTCTTGATTCAACAGTATTTTTTTAGAAATATGAGCAGCAGCAGGTTATTAATGGCATTTTAGTGCTTTTATATTGTATTAAGGTTTCCTGTTATGGAAATTGATTTGCATATTTATAACTTTTATCGTTTTTATTTTTAATGTAAATGTGAAATTTCTTGTAATTGCCTAACAATTGGCTCCTTATTTGTCTACGACTGGCCCCTATGTCGATACATATTAATGTAGTATCTTATTTTATGGTTTGAGAAAAATTAATTAAATCTTTTCTAGCTCTGTCCCTGAATCAACACACCATTTTGTCCATAATAAATTTATTTTTCGATCACAATTCAACCAGCTAAGAGTATGAAAGCAATCCAGTTGATAAAGATCAAGCTCAGGACTTTTTTTCTACAAAACTGAACAAGGTTGAATATGCTGCATATCCTGATAATTTTTATTCTCTTGATAAGAAAGAGATTTTGTTTAAAGGCACCTAAAGAGTGTAGCCCAGCAACAAAGATCTAAGCTTGCTGGTAGGAAGTTCAACTCCTTTAAACTCTCGATAATTACGACATTAAGAAAAATTTGTTTAATGCTCCTTTTGCAAATGATTGACCTAGCTCAGATCAAATCTGATTACCTTTAATTCTAGCCAGTTTACCTTCAATCTTTGGTAGATTCTTTTTATTTTAGTTAGTAATAAACATAACTAGATTGGAAAAGTGCAGGACATACATGAAAAGGACGACAAAAGGCAACAAGGGAACCAAAAAAACATGACTATTAAATCCTAATAATTCATGCTCCTGACAGCACATGCCACCCCGACTGAAGCATATCAACTGGGAGTTAAAACATGAGAGAAGAGAGGGGTGGGTTTTGAATGAGTCTTTTGTCACAGAAGGCAATAAAATGGTAAAAGCCTAAAATAAAAGCGTATTTATTTAAGGCACAAGTTTTACTCGTGATCGAATTTATAAACAGGAAAACATTCAACACAGGAGAGTAATATGTAACCATCAGACTAACAAGTAACAACTTCCACGTATATGATCGTAATGGCAATTTTCCTAACCATTCAACAATTTCTAGGATGCATAGATACCCAAGAACACGTATTTAACTTTGTTACGTGAGCTTTCAATAATATAAGTTAAATTGTATGAATTTTATTTTAATTTTAACTTTTTAAGTTCTTCATATAATGCTACAAATGACCCACCCCAACACACAGGTTGAAGTAGAGACAATTAAACACAGTTCATGAGGCGTTTCATATGTGGATGTTGTATAAAACAAAGATGACCCCATCTCAACCAAAAGCTCCAGAAATGCGACTAAACTGGAAGGGTAAAATGCCTTCATCCAAAAGTAAAGAACATATAAAAGAGATTGCTTAAACCAATCTATGGGTGTTATGGTACAGCTGTACCCTAAAAACCTTCCTATTCCTTTACATCCACAAACACCAAAATAATGCTAAATGGAATGAAAGTCCACATCACATGCATCCTACTCACCAACATTCCAACAGCTTCCTGCACGCTTTAGGCATACACCACCCATACTAGTTATTGCAAAATTCAATGGCCATTGTTAGCACACAAAAGTGCAAAATGATAAAAGATAGCTTATGGACTACTCACTGAGCACAAATGTAGAGCATTCTAAGATAGAAAGCTCCTCTTCTTTAGATTATCCAATGTGAGAACAGACTACAATTTTGTTGTCCATGCAAAAAGGGCCTCCTTGAATGTACCCTTATTCTTCCATATCCTCTTCCAAGGAAATAAACCACCTATCAAACCCCCCCCCCCCCCCAACCCCCAAACCAAAAAAAAAATCCAACAGTTTAGGGTGACACATCGTGAGAAGGATCACAGTGTAAATTTCCTGTGCCTCTCCCCCGCCCATCTTACCATATCACCCTTGGCCCTTTCATTCCACCCCTGCAATGGCCTCAAAAGATTCACTACTGCTTGTTCCTTGCAGTCTAATAAATCCTTCCTAAAAGTAGGTGGCACATCGTATTACCCACCGAACAATGCCAGGAATCCATCACCAAGCAAATGCTCTCCACACTACATGCCCAGCCAAAGCTTCACCCTTCCCCCATTTCCTTCTCCAAGTTGAATGACTCTAGAGCGCACCCTCACCCCAGCCCCCACCCCAAAATACATAATCCCTTGACGTCTCTCTTGAAGCCCATCCCCCCCCTTCTCACCCATTACTCCCTCCACCACCTTCCTCACAATGCTCCTCCCTCCACCACAAACCTCCACCCCTCCAAACTGTCAATACCTACCTCAATTGTCAACAAAATTTCTCCCCCAACCATGCTCCCTATGATCCAAGCCCACAAATGCATCAACTCCAACAAACCCCTTACATCGATCAGAACACCTCAGAATCCCAAATCATCAAATGGAAGCCACACTACTCTGGCCTGCACGACCTTTTCTGACCAACACTTTCTCAAGATCCCAACCACTACACTCCACATATCCAACGCAATCTTCATTACCTCCATCACCCTCCTTCAAAACCCTCATCGCTTCCACCTTAGACAAGAATTCAAGGACAACCAAAGATTTCCCCCAATTCCTTCACTTTAACTCCAACTGGGATTGACAAGTGTGTGTATGCTCATTCCGAATTAGACTTACAAGGGGTGGTTGATCTTCATTCCCACCAACTTGGCCTACAAGAACCCTCTTCAAATGCTTAATCCTGACACACGAGCTCATACCTACTAACCTTTTGAAGACGATACCCACATTATCACAACCTTTGTTTATCTAAATATTTTGACAAAATAATATAAGCATACGCCAAAAACAAGAATCATTAATTGAGAAAGAGAAACCCCACTCCCTTTTTCCTCTTTCTGCCACCACCTTCCCATACAAGCCATCTCCAAGATTAAGCAAAATCAAGTAAGAGCCTCACTAGTATGCCCCATCTCTTGCTTTAATCCAATCCTTTGACCACCAATTGAGACTCAATAACTAATGAACTATGAAGCACAGACCCTCTATTTCAGCTTGTGTATTAGTGTCAACACGTATACGAAACAAACACCTCCGCCCACCTTCTAGACACATGTTGGGTAAGCAAAAAAAAAAAGTGTCCGAATTTTTTGTTACTTTTTTTTTTTATAAATTTCAGCCACTTCTCGAACACGTTCCATGTGGTCAATTTCAATTTGATTGAGAGTAATTCACTACAATAATTAAAAATAACAACGAAATTAATTCACCACTTCCCTTTTGTATTGTTTGTAGGCAATAAAAGTGTGTAGTCAATGATGACAAGGACAAGGACAAAGATGGGCGATCAAAAAGACAGACAAAAACATCGATTGACAACAAAGATTATGACAGACAATATCACATTACAACATCTCATTGCAATTGTAGACGTTTTTCATTTGTTGTTTTAATTACAAAAGAAAGATGTGAGAGAGAAAGAGAGGGTCAGCAATTAAAGAAGGTTGCAAGTTCCCGAGATAGAGAGAAAGTAGCACGAGAGTAGACGCAGCCCATCCCCCAAGGAGTTCGCCTTTTTTACTTGTTAGGCAAATTGTCAACAATTACTCAACTACATTTCCAAATTTAGGCCTTTTGCTTGCCCAACGGTTATCGACTTGGAGGGCAGTGAAACACATCGGTGGTGTCCCAGCACGACATCGAGCAATACGAGCAAACTAGTTAAAATGTCCGAAAAATTCCAAAAAAATAGTGAAAAATATAAAAAATGTGAACAACAAAAGCCATGCATCATATATCAAAAATACATTATCTAGCACATTAGACATAACTAAAATAGAATGTAATGGAGCTACCAAAAATATACTAGTAAAAAGGAATACAAGTTTGACCTAATTTGAAGGTTTGACGGAAACCTACGTCACTGTTACTTTAAAATTAACTGTGGACTCCAATTCGTATAGGTTTCACTGTCAATCCAATGATAATAATAGATTAATTCCCCAAATTAAACTTTTTTTGTTTTAATTTAACCATAACGAAGCGAGGGCCTTTACTCAATTTTAAAATATCTTTTGGGGGAAGGGGGCATAATACCTTATGTCTTACTAAAAGAGAATTACAATGTTAAGAAAGCAATCTACACAAACTAAATTTGAAGTCAAAACGATAGGAAGATAATGCATGAGATCCTTTTTGAGGCAAAAGAACTCAATTTGGGAGACAAACCCAAAATCTGCCGCTAAGCAATTGTCCATCCGTGAATGAGCTATTTTTATTATAACCAAAACAATTAGTGATTAGTAGCCCATACATGAGTTTGATCGCTGCACAGTCGAGCACCATAAAACCTTCCTAGAAAAGGAAAAAATCATTATCGTTTCAAAATAAAAATAACTGTTGCACAGTTGTCCATATCCAAGGAAACCCCATGATTTTTACTATAGTTTTTCTTTTGGTGTAGCTGGAGCCACATCTGCAATTCCACCTAAAAAGGAGATGTCCATGATTTTCTCTAATTGACAGTTACAATAACCTCATCGAGAACCAAAAATCTTCCACCTCTCTCCCACTCGAGGAGGGAAGCAAAGGTTGGTAAGGGTTTTGGATGAACTGCATGGGAAGTTCAAAAGATATTCAACAGAAAAGCGAAAGAAATCAATATGCCCCTTTATATCACATAGAACTACACCATACTCCTAGAAACAAAGGATGAGACACCCTCCCATATATCATCCCAAAATCGAATTCTCTCCCCATTACTCATGGAATACTTGACAAACTAAGAGAAATGAGATAAATTTTGAGAAATGAACTTCCAAGGACATCGAGAACATCCTCTCTCACTCATTTTGGAATCCCATCCCACCCATTATTATGAATTCCATACTTTTAATCACAACATGCCATACACTACTGGGAATTTCGACAACGACTTGGCAAGTATAGAAGTATTCCTCGCATTCAAGTTACCCAATGCTAGACCACCTTTAATCTTGTACCATGACACCAGAGCTTGGAAGGGTTACTATTTCTTCACCACATATTTTTCACCACACATTTTTCTTGCACTCTCGCCCAAGCAACCACTACAACCTAAAAGTTCGAAACATTGTTAGATAAGCAAGAAGGAAAAAAGAAAGGAGCAATAAAGGGAAAAATGAAAGTAGAAGGCAAAATCTCCTAAAGTGAGTGTCAAGCTCCAATGCTTGGCGGCTGGAAATGAGTTTCTACAAAAGCTTATTAATCACAAATTAGAATTTCTAGTGCTTTCAAGCATATCATGCTAAGTCTCACACTAGCACAAAAGAAGAATGCATAACCTAAGATTTATGAGGAGAAACCTTCTTAGGAGTATGGTGTAGTTTTGACCCTCTCACGTTGTGAGGAAACATTTGGTGCGCACGATTTGCTTTTATTCGTGCTACTTTCATAGACATGTATATCAGTATCTCTTAGTATGTATGAGAATTTATGTCCACCTAGTCTCAAGTTGAGAGCTATATTTATCTTTGTAGGCTAGGCGAGCTTTAAGAGTTGAGCAATTCTTAGCCAAGAATTGTTTAGTGTGGCCTATCGACATGTTTTGAGCTTTCTATTTCTTGTTTGGATCGTAAAACTTGCCAAAAATTTAAAAAAAATAAATTTAAAGAGAAAAATTGTTGGTCCCAAAAGTAAAAACAAAATTAAGAGGTAGACTTCTACGAATACATTAGACAAAGGGGATTTATATAAAACACTTAAACTTTCAAAAGCATAAGACGGCACAAGGGCATGATTTAGGAAGCATAATTCAATGACACTACAATTGTTTGGTTGGTGTTTCATTATGCACTATATGTGTGTTGTGTTTAAGTTGAACAAGAAGAATAGATGTTTGGACCACTTTTCTTGACTTTAATATGGCCAAGGATATATAGGTTCTCTTCATTCTATTTTTTGATGAGAAACAAAATTATTCCTTGTACAATGGAAAGACACAAAGATGGTGGCCAAGAAATCCAAGCATTCATACAGAAAGGGTAAGAAAACAAAATAACTAAAATAAAAAGAAAAGGCCAAACAAATTCCAAATTTTCCATGGGTGGGTGTGAACAGAGAGGATGAAAGAAAAGCAGAAGGCTAGAGAAAATAGAGTTAATCGGTTTCGTTGCATTCTGTGTTCGAGTTTCTATTCAAAAACTTCTACCACTTGTGTTAGAATAGTAGTCAAAGCACGTCAGAGGAACTACTATTTAGAGAACATCATAATCAAGGTAGGCAAGCAATGATAACACAACAGTCATTCATGAGTATACTGGCACCAAAAAATCCGATACTCAAGCTGATGAATCTCCAATCAACCAATGGTTATTCATGTTATAAATGACTATTTCGATGACAGTATGAAATTTTTTCTAGACGCTGCGAAGATTGGAGAAAGGCCAACTTTTTCTTTTTTAGTTACTGTTGACAAAAATGGAGTATCCAAAATGGATGCGACATGTTGCATGGTTAGGTGTGAAGATTTGAGAATAAGTTTAGTAGGGAGATTTGGTCGACTGGATTCGAATGTGCCATCGATTGAGAAGGTAATTCAATTGACAAATTCAAAATGGGAGTTGATTGGCCTCAAAGTTATTCCAATGGCCAATTCACTATTCATGTTTGTTTTTCACTTACCGACAGAAGCAACGAGGATTTTGTATTTGCAAGATTGGTCCTTAGAAGGCATTCCTTTGTATCTTGATAGATGGGTACTGTGGGCTTGATGTGTACGAGAAAGAGACGTGGCAATGGAGAATTTATGGATTTGAATTTATGGATTTGAATGCTTGGAATACCAGCATATCTTTGGTGTAATGATTTATTTATCGCCACTAGTAATTATGTTGGAGAATTTGTGGAGATTGATTTGGCTACTACGTCATGTGAGGATATTACTAGTGCAAGAATTCTGGTTAGAGCTTCGGTATTTTTCATTCCATCTATTATCACAGTAAATGCCATGAAAGTCAATTTTATTTTTCCAGTGTGGTCTGAGCTTAAGGCGGCCATGGTGGAGAAGAATGGATCAACACATGATGTAGTACCGTCAATTAAACAAGACTCGATTTTTAGTAGGCTATGGAACCAGGATTGACAACCATGGAACTTAGAAAGCCATGAAACAGGGAAGGGAGAAAAGTGCGGGATATCCACAGGCAATTGGGAGACATTTTAGTTATGGAAGGAGAGAGAAGTGGAGACAAATGGGTAGATTTTTAAAATCAAATTTACATCAAAATTTCAAACACCATAATTCCAGTTTTAAAGCAATGGAGCTAAATGGATGGAAATTTCCAAAAAATTATTTGACCAGAATTTAAAAGCCACAAGTACAAGCTTACGAAGTTGTGAAGTCAAATGGACTATATTCTCAAAACGGGCCTCAATAAATGGGCCAAAGGATTCTAATATTTCAATTAATAGGTCCAAAATAAGTGGGATGCCCAATGGGCTCAATTTATCAAATGGGCTTCGGGTTAGGGATGGGTTGTATTATCAGAATGCTAAGGTATTGCATGGATCTAAAAAGATCCAAATAGAAGACCCAGAGAAGAGATTCTGCATAAAAAAAAAAGATTTACTCCTTTACAGAACAACGGTGATCAATTCAACTGCGAATCCAAACTTTGCTTCGCCTAGAAATCCTCCGACGTCATGAACGACACTCGTGTCCTATGATCTCGATGAAGGAGAGCAAGAAGCCTTTGTCATTGGGAGGTGAGCAGGTGAAGGTAGTGAATTTGGAGGGGCGATAAGGTCTTACAATTGCATGGTAGCTACAGTGGGATCCAAGGGAACTTTTCGAACAAGAAAGATTGAAGGCATTCCATTGGTCCAAGGCTCCACTTCTTAGTGTGCTGATAAACAACTTTCTTCAAGCCATAATCTTCCAGGATGTTGAGGAGCAGCAAAATTTTGATTGTGTCATGGATATAAAAGGGAAGACAAAAGTCGAGGATGAAGGAAGATTGATGGAATCAAATTTTGTTTATGATTTGAAGGATTTGAATAGTTTTTTAGATCCCCATGATGAGTTATTGTTAAACAAGTTGCGAGAATTTGAAGATGCCTTTTATGTTTCAAAATCTCTTATGTTGGAAGAAGCAAGAATGGGTTTATTTATGGAGCAGCATGACAAAGGAGAGATGGAAATTTTATATGGCAATTGGGAGGGCGAAAGAGCTTTTAATGAGTTTTCTCTTGCAATAAATTGTGGTGTAAATCTAGAGGGGAAAATGTCAAAGCAAAAGCCTGGGGATGGGATTCTTGTTCCTTCGTCATTATCAATTGACCTTCCACCTCAATCGCCAATTGTCTCCCCTATTCCTAATTCTATTTCTGCAAGCATTTCAACTAAGAATGAAAATTCAAGGACTTTTATAGGAAGCATAAATTCTAGATGTGGAGTTCTGTTCATTCCTAAGAGGGGTAAGACTTAAACGAATTTATCCTTATGCCAAATGGGGATAGGTAAGGGGGGAGCTTCGTCATCGTAGACCTACTAGGGAATGAGAGAGACAACCAAGCTGCACAGACCCTTTTGGACAAAATAGGCTTCAATTAGTTAGTCCCATGGGGAAGGAAATTAGAGTGGGCAGTTCTCCTATAGTGTATAGTAGGAGAAAGAAAAATGGGGAGACGAAGTTAAAGAATCTTCAGTGTGAGATTAATTACGATAGGGGGAGGAAGGGGTGTTAAGAATTTCTTGATGAAGTTCATCAGGTGGAAGGTGAGGAGGTAAGGGAATTGGAGGAATAGGAAAATAATATAGGAGGTTATTCTTAGGGCTTCTCCAAATATAGTCATGTTTCAATTGACTAAATTAGAGAAAGTGGATGGTATTTTGATTAGGAGTATTTGGGAGCCTAAGTTTAAGGATTGGGCTTTTCTCGCATCATGTGGATCTGCTGGGGGAATTGTTGTGATATGGGATACTAGATTCGTTACTAAAGTAGATTGTGCCCTTGGTTCTTTTTTTATGTCGGTATGACTTGAGTTTAAGGGTGGTCCTAATCGTCTAAGAATTAGACAATCTTTTTGGGATGAGTTGTATGACTTGTGTGGATTGTGCAGTCCAAGATGGTGTATTAGGGGAGACTTCAATGTTATTAGAAACTCAAATGAGAAGTTGGGGGTCCTAGGGTGACAACTAGTATGATGCATTTTGATACTTTTATAAGTGAGTGTGAGTTGAGGGATTTCTCCTTGTTTAATGCTCAATTTACATGGTCTAGGAATTCAAACAATCCTATTGCTACACGGATACATAGATTCATTTTCCATAATGAGTGGGAAGAAGGTTTTCCAAATGTGGTACAGAAAGTTTTGACTAGAGTGGTTTCTAATCATTTTCCTATTGTGCTTGAGTCCAATCCAATTAGGTGGAGGCCTACACCTTTTAGATTTGAGAACATGTGGTTAACTTATCATCTTTAAGAGTGATTTGATGTGTGAATTCAATGAGTTTTTTGCTAATGAGGTTGTGGGGAGAAGTGTTAATTTAACATTTATCGCGTTGGTTCCCATAAAAGATATTTCGAGTAAAGTGAAGGATTATAGACCTATTAGTTTGGTGACTAGTTTGTATAAAATTATCACTAAAGTGTTGTCTAGAACTATAGTTTAGAGTGCTTTTGTTCAAGGAAGACAAATACTAGATGCAGTTTTAGTGGCCAATGAGGGGGCGGAGGATGCTATGAGAAAAGGAAAGAAATGAATTGTATTAAAGCTAGATTTTGAGAAGGCATATGATCGAGTAAATTGGAATTTCGTGAATATTGTGTTATAAAATAAGGGATTTAGGGAAAGGTGGATAAGGGGCTATTTTTCTTCTTCGACTTTTTCAATATTGGTGAATGGGGAGTCTAGGGAGTGGTTCAATGCATCTAGTTTTTCCAAGGCAAGGAGATACCTTTACTTTGGTGATTGATCTCTCGAGCAAAATGATTATTAGAGCGAGAGATGTAGTATTGATTGAGGAGTTGAGAAAGGGTGTTGAGGATGTAACTGCATCACATTTACATTATGCTAATAACACAATTTTTTTCTATCAGATAAGAGATGAGTGTTTTCAGAATGTGCTTATTCAAATTTTTGGACAAGTTTTCAAGTTTGAAAGTTAATACGTCCAAAAGTTGAGTTATAGAGGTTATTAGAGATCTAGCATTAGAGGTGGGTGGTTCAATACATTAGTGGTCAATGGTGTAACCAAGGTTACCTTTGGAGGAAAATCTGAGATCATTAACTTTTTGGAATCCAATTGTTGAAAGGATTTATAGAAAATTAGAAGGTTGAAAAATGACATTTTTCTCTTGGAGGGAGGATCACTTTGATAAAACTATGTTTGTCTAGCATCCCTTTGTGTTATTTGTCACTTTTTAGAATCCCAGTAATAGAGGCTAGGAGTTTAGAGAAGATGATAAGGGATTTCTTTAGTCCGGAATGGGAGATGATAAGTGGGATCATTTAGTGATTTGGGAGACAGTTGGTAAGTTTATAGATGAAGAGGGATTGAAACTTGGTGATTTGGTGTCTAAAACACATTTCCCTTTGAGGTAAATGGCTATGGCGGTTCCCATAAGAACCTGACTCACTTCAGCATAAGATAATTAGAAGTATGGTCTTCAAAGGAATGCGTGCATACCAAATCTGGGCATAACGTAACTCATATGAGTCTGTGAAAATTCAATTCACAGATTTACCCTTCTTTCTTCCTTTGACCCAAAATAAAGTTAGATATGGATCCAAATTTCTACTTGGGTTTAAAGTAGTGGTGGGTTTGGTTTTTTTGAAACAAGTTTCATAGCTAGAGTGTTTTAGGGTTGTTTGGACTGGTTTGAAAGGTGGTCGTGATATGTGGAGTTGGGACAAAGAAACCCCCAAGGGTTTCAAATCTTGATTTTTAATTTTGCTAAAAACCCGTTTGATCTTCGAAAGAGGACTTAGGTCTAGCTAATTTGGGGACAAGGATTCCAAATATGGCCTTAAATCAAGTTTTGAGGTCATTTGGGGGGTGAAAATCGAATTTTCAGGTCTGGTCAATACTTTGAAACAAACTTTTTGGCTTACTTTGACCTTTAATTTGTAGAGATTAAGGGGGATTCGAAGGACAAGGATTTAAAACTAGGATGTGTGGGGAGTTGTTTGGCTTTGGAACGAAAGGAAGAGGTGAAGGATGGATGGAGAAAGAGTGGGACAAAATTGGGGGGGAGGGGGAGGGGGTAAGCTGAAAATTCTGAAACTAGGGCAACAAGAGGAGGGGGGAACCAGCCCACCCCGACAGCGTGTGAGGGCACATGGGTTGGCTAGTCCACCCCCGATTGGTGCCAATGGACTCCTAAGGTCCATATGGAGGCTCCGGTGATCTCCATTTCGCGATCGATTTTTTGGTGAATTGAGGTGTAAAATGTTTGTTTTGTCCTCCGAGCCCGCTTTGACCTAGTTTTTGGGTGTAAAATGTCTGCAACTATTATATTTTGCAAAAACAGGACAAGAGGGGATCTTAGATTACACACACTCTTGATGTTTAGGGGCCACTGAAAGTAGCTTCAAAGGGAGGATCCCCTTTTTTTTAATTGATGATTTTTCCAAGAAGATTTGGGTTTACTTCATGAAGCATAAGTCAAAAAATTTCACAAATTTCAAATTTTGGAAAGCTGAAGTAGAAAACCAGACTGGGCAGAAGATTAAGTACCTCGTAACAGAAAATGGGTTAGAGCATAAGGATGCAGAATTTATGAAGTCCTGTGAGAAGCATGGCATCAAGAGACATCTTATAGTTCGTAAGACACCTTAATAAAATGGAGTGGCAAAAAGGTTCACCAGAACAATTGCAGAAATGGCTAGATACATGAGATTGAATGCTAGGCTTCCAAAGAATTTTGGATCGAGGCTATGAACATGGCATGTTACATCATTAATAATATGAAGAGCTGCACTGGATGGATGAGAAGGTTTCAGATGAGATATTAACAAGGCAGGAGACAGACCACTAACTGATAAGAGTATTTGGGTATATTCCTTATGTTCATATTTCTAGTAATGAAATGTCAAAACTTGATCCAAAATCCAAGAGATGTATATTTCTCGAGTATGAGAAGTGGTTTTAAGGGTACAAGTTGTGGAATCCAGGAGCACAAAAGGTGGTGATAAGAGATGTGGTATTTGATGAAGTCTCAATGTTGAAATCATCAAAGGAAGAGGATAAAGATGAATTAGGAGGGGGCAGTACCAACAACCACAACCAGGAGGTGATTCAGGTGGAGTTTAATATTCAAGATAAAGAGAATGCTGGGTGAATAGGACCAGCAAAGTATAGCTATCAATAGACCCAGGAGCATCAAACAACTAGTTAGATATAGATTCGAGGATTTTGTTTCTTATGCTATTGATAGTCATGAAAATGATAGATGGATGAAGGCCATAATGGAAGAGATAGAATCCTAGCATAAGAACAAGACTTAGGAGTTGGTGAAAAGTAAGTGGGTTTTCAGGAAAAATGAGGTGGTATCAAAAAGGAAGAAGAAAAGTTCAAGGCTTGATTAGTGGCAAAGGGTTACTCGCAAAGAAAAAGGGTAAATTATGATGAAGTCTTCTCCACGGTTGTCTGGCACATGTCCATCACGACCATGTTGGCCTTTGTAATCAATTATGATCTAGAGTTAGAGCAGCTAGATGTAAAAACAGTTTTTTTTTCTTGGTGACTTAGAGGAGCATATTTACATGGAGCAACCCGAGGGATTTAAACAACCAAAGACTGAGCACCTTGTTTATAGATTGAAAAAAATTGTATGGTACAATAATGATACAAATAGTTTGATTCCTATATGCTTTAGAATGATTACTCTCGTTTTGAGTATGATTGTTGTTTTTAACTTAAAAGTCTTGGGAATGGTTCAAAATATTTATTACTATATGTTAATGATATGTTGATTGCTACAAAGAATATGACTGAGGTTGGTAGGTTGAAATCTTTGTTAAGGATGGAATTTGACACGAAATATTTAGATGCCACTAGGAAGATACTTGGTATGCAGATTCGCAGGAATAGAGTGGCAGGAAAGTTGTGGTTGTCTCAGAAATACTATCACAAAGGTGCTTGAAAAGTTTAGTATGTATCATACTAAACTTGTAACCACTCCATTAGTGAATCACTTCAGGTTACATGCAAGTCAATGTGCAAAGACACGTGAAGAAATTCAAGACATATCAAAGGTGTTGTTATGAACAAAGGCCATAAACAAATTCAGAACACACAAATTTCTGTGGTTCGACTCGACACACAAGCCTACGTCCACGAACGAAGTAAAGTAACATGATTTGACTATCAAAAGATGGATCTGACAGGCAAAAGGTAAGAGAACTTGTCACCACTTTATCACTATTACAATATTAATAGTGCCCCAAAAAACCTTGAATATTGATTTAAAAGGAAGCCTGTATGATGGAACAAGACCTGATCGTCAACGTCTATGGCTAGGCGGAATTGCACGTCTTCTGCTATGCCAAATGCTTCTGGAGTCCTTTTATTTATCAAACATTAGCATACCACCTCCAAAGTCAAAGCCTTTCCTCAAGTCCATTACGTGTTGGACTAAACTACCTTTATCCAAGTTGGTGTAAATCAAGGATTGTAGACTGAGAGTTATTCATGGACAATAACATGTCTATGAAGTGTCCTTGAGATATTCGAACACATGAAAAGGTCGGTGCGCCATGAATTTCGAATGACGTCCTCCAAATTGAATCCAGATAATTTTATGTTGGATCGGGTATTAATTCGAGTGGAATACAAGACATGAATAACATGTGCCTTATGCCAATGCAGTGTGCTACTTGATGTATGCAATGGTTTGGACTACACTGGATTTGTCAGCAAGTACATGGCTAATCTAGGTAGAGAGCATCGGAAGGCAATTAAGTGAATTTTTAAATACTTGAGAGGTACAGCAATCCAAGTCATTCTGTTTGCAAAGCAACAAGATTCTATTTTAGTTATGGGTGTAAAGGTACCAATTATGCTGAGGATTTAAATGACAGAAGGTCTACTACAGAGAGCATGTGTTTACACTTGCAGGAGACATATTTGTTGGAGGTCCATGTTACAAACTTACAATCACTGAGGCTGCCAAGGAAGTTTTGTGGGTGAAAGGATTGGTTAAAGAGCTTGAGTTAAAGCAAGGTGAAGTTCAGCTGTATTGCAATAGTTAGAGAATTAGCCTGGTGTCCCTTGTAGCCGTTTGAGTTCCCGTAGAGGTTAGTTGGTGGTTTCATTTATCACTTGGCAAAACATAAAGTGTATCATGCTAGAACAAAGCATATTGATGTGAGATTTTATAAGCTCAGAGTTAATTGCTACCGGGGAGGTGATACCAAAAAAGGTGCATACTTCGTGATAAAACTAATTCCTTCAAATAGGTTTACGCATTGGTTGGACAAGGTTAATAGTCCTCAATGATGAGAAATGTGGCATCCCCAACCAATGGGTTCGCGGTGCAGCCTGGTTATGGTACTTTTCCAGAGTAGTGAATTATTCTTCAAGGTTAAGATTACAAGGAATAGTTAGTGGCTCATATTCACTAGGCCCTTAAGTCAATGGGCCAGTGAAATCCCTGCAAACTTTAATGAGGATAGTGTACATTTAGTTTTTCTTGTGGTATCTACTGTTTAGTTGTCGAGGTCGAATAATATGTTGGGGGTGCAAAGGCATAAACCCTGCAGCTTGCAGCTGGGTAGGCATACATTGGGGATTTCCAATGTACATGTAGTAGAAGAGTTTTACCATGATTGAGTAATTTAGGAAGTTTACCAGGTATTGATCTATTAGATTTACTAAGGCTAGATTTCCTAACTGGACCAGGGTTCAGTTATTAACTCATACCTGTAAATATGTTGTAACCCTTGGAATTCTGATCTAAAAAAAAAAAGGCTCTAGTGAACGCAAGTAGAATTTCTACCGAACCACATAAATCTTGTTTCCTTTACCATTTCATTCTTTATTTTTCACCGTATTGCACGTTCACAACACTTTTTCTTAAAATTGCTATCTCAGGAAGTCTCATTTGGTTATCTAGAAGCACCTAGTTTGGTAAAAATTGCAAGGCGACTCTCCATGGAAGAATCCACTCAATCCAGTCTATTCAGGAGGAATCGAGGCAAATGACTATTGAACTGTAGCTTAGTCAATCTTGGCCCTTTGACGACTGCCAGGATAATCGTACTTGTACCCCATTGTTTTGAAAGGAAGCTGTGGAATGGTTGTTGGACATAAAGAAGATTTTGCCCCAAGGTGGAACAAAATTCTCCTCAAATGACTTTTCTAAAGGTCCTCATCTACCCATTCTCTAGGACCCTCTAGTTTTTACGAGCTAATAAATAACTGTGATGTAGCTTAATATTCAGTAGTACCAAACTCAAATGAGTTCAAGTTATATAATTATGCATATTTTACACTTCCAAGGGCGTGGGAGTAAACAACAGAAATAAAACACTGTACAAGTTGTTATATCCATATGCGTGACATAAAAATGCCATTTCACTTTGAACTTCGAATTTGTGGCAAAATCATTGACATTACACAAAAGAATTTCAGACGATGGTTACAAAAATTAACTAAAAGGATCATAATGAAACAAACAAATTTACCGCTTCATTCTGATTTTGAAAGGAACTTCCAGGCCTCCATTGTATTCCAGGAACAACAGAAGGGGAAAAAACCCTGCCAGCCACAACTGCAGTATCACCAACATTGCCACTGTCAGCAGGGCCAATTCCATCACTGGCTTTGGCAACTTGTGGCAATACCATTCTATTACTTAGTGGGGAAACCAGGGGCTGTACCGTGCTACTACTCCCATGTCTCTCATCAGCTCCTAACATGTTCCTCTTCGTCATTTCAGATGCTGAAGGAACAGTACCAAGGGATCCATTGCCCGATATTGCACTGCCAGAATTAAGAGGGATACTAGTTGAGGGTTGGTTAGATAGGCCACCTCTACCCATACCCCTTACTCCAGTTTCAGCAATAGCTGGAGATGATTTACGAACAGGGAAGCCCGCACCCTCTTCGTCCTTAGCAGAATTTGGCGGATTAACGGGAGATAAAGAAACAGCACCACCTGCATTTTCCAATACACCTCGAGCAGAACTCGGACCTGAAAGGATTACTGAAGCAACTGATGCACCGGACAGATTGTGCATTGGAGCATTCCCAGTACCAGGAGTCAAATGGCTCCCTGATGGTGTTGGTGGAGCAGAACAAGCAACGACATTATTTTTAGGAGGCGGAGTCCTTGCAACATCAGAGTTATTATCCAGGGAAGCCGTCTCCTCAACTTGTTCCTGGACAGAGGAACCCTGTTGAACAGAAGACATCAATATTGGCATAAGAAAAAAAGCATCAAGCCATAACATATATCTCAGCAGTGTCAATTGAAAGCATCTAAACAGTTCAAATAAACAAAATTGATGCACAGGATTTACGTAGTTATAAAAAAACGATTTGTGTACTAGAATAACATTCTCATGGCTTGCTTTCAAAGTCACAAGTACTGAAAGTAGATACATAGATAAACACAAGAAAAAAGAGAATACCCTCTGTCTCAGTCTTTCAAGGCCCCATAAACTAAATTATCAAGGACACGACTAGAAATGAGCCTGTCTTTGTTGAATATGTGGTAGACATTACCAGCCCATGTAATGTCTGGCGCCTCTTTGATGGGGACAGACACTTGAAAATACTCATGGGCAACACAGTAATTGATCAACAAAAACACGACTTTCTCCAGTTACAACCATCAATGTTCATGATCCACCAATGCACAAGGCTCAGCTATTATTTATTTTCACAATTGAACAAACACCAATAATGTGACCAAACCCAGTCAATGATGCTGAATATCACTACCACCGAAAGGGGTTAAAAAAAGCATCCCCAATTTCAATCATATTCAGTTGTAGAACAAGCTGAAGTAGCAAAGAAACGTACTCCTAAGAATCTAACCATCTCAAAGGATATATACATAGAGGAATAGCCAAAGATCAAGTAACATGAGAAGAATAATCATGTAGCAAAATTTTCATAACAAATAAAATAGTTACCATAATTCACTAAACCCCGGATAACCCACGATCTAGGTACATCGATCTCAAATAGGGCGGGGCGAATTCGCGATCCAAATCAACAAAATGTACGACCCAAATTGTACAAGTAGCTCAAATATAAAATACATATTAATTAACTACGTGTATATAAATTTATAATTATTTATTATTTTAGATAATAAAAAATCGAGCATAAATGTAAGATAAATGATAACTGACTTCGTGATTATGGATGTTCTATGATATAATGGTATATATAATATTGTATACGGGTGAAAACGATCTAGATAAGGGTTCCATAGCTAATTGTGACCCAAATTACCATACCAGTGAAGCCTACTCTCACCGTACCGTGTACTTAAGAAAGTGTCGTACCGCATACCCGTACTCGTATCACGTACCAAAGCAACTCGCAATCCAGGTAACATTTAATAAACAATACTGCTAAACTGCAATAACTAGGTATCTTGAAGCATTGAAACATGGGGAATAGGTCAAAAAAAAAATTGGGCAAAACACCAATAATTCCTACTTTTCCTCCCAAAAAACTATTGAGACCTATCAAATTTGTCTAGGTACATTTAAGTCCTACTTTTCATCATTGATTCCAAAGAAGTCCTAATTCTTTTTGTATTCTTTTTTTAGCCTTTTTAAATAAAAATTATAACACTAGATATGAAATTAAGGGTCAGATTTTTTCCTTCAGCCACCACTAGACACTTTTAGAAGAATAGCAAGAGGCTCTCTCGTTCTTCCAAGGTAAGGTACTCTATTTTTAGTGATTTTGTGCTTACTTTTCTCCTCATCAACACTGATTGAGCAAGATTCCAATTGGTTCTGTTCAACAAGATCTCGAAGCAAGAGTCCCTAGGCACCAATTAGGTAGGCCCATAGAGATGCTAAATACATTAGCTAACTCAAAACCCTGTAGAACCTCATCAAATTTCAAGTGGGAAGGAGCATTGACAAATGTTGGTCCTGCCAAGTGCCTATGCAGGTACCAAGATCATTGCCCAAGTTGCGAATCTGGATCAATGAAATATACCCACATGAGTTGCAAGTGAGCCTTAAATTAGTTTAAGGCACTTAGTGTTGTTAATGAGTTATGTTGTATCAAGTCTATATCCTATTTACGTTGTGTCGGGTTAGTCGAGTAAATGTCGAACTATTTATTTGATGGGTCCACTTGTATATCACCCGACCTAGCAAAGCCTAAACCAAAACCCATTTATTTTGTGTCGGTTTCATGTTGAGTTTGCGGATTGTGTTCAATAATTGTGCTTGCACTACAATTAAACCATCAGTATTTCAAGTCAATTGCCAAAAGATTGTTTCAGAGCAACAAACTAAAGCACAACTCAATGACATTACTTTGCACTAAAATTAACCATCAGAATTCATGTTAATTGCCAAAAGATTGTATCTAATTCAACATCACTTCCATCTTGTGTCTCATTGTAGTGTTGTGGTTTATATTTAAACGGGGCAAAAAAGGAATAAAACAAGAATTATGACTTACTTGAAATCAATGATAAAAAGTACAACTTAATTATGCTAATATAAATTTGATAGGACTCAATTGTTTTTTGGGAGAAAAAAATAGGGCTTATTGGTATTTTCCCCAAAAAATATCTTGGAAAGTTCTATTATTTTCCAAGCATGGCTATTCCAATTTGTTAGAGTTCTTGTTTTATATTATTAGTATCTTAGGGAAATAATGAAATTGCTCAAAATGCAAGTTGATTATAAATAAGAGAGTGTAGGGCAACAAAACCCACACAACCGATTATTTCATTTCTCTTCTTCTCTTTTCCTCTTATATTCTTCTTTCCTTACAAATCCTAATGCCCTTTCTACAAGTTCAACTCAATTCATGCAAAACTAAACCCAAAAACAATTATATCCACTTCAAACTCATGTTTCCAGTTATGTGTCCTAACAAAAAATTTGTTCAATCAACAGCATAAACTAGGGGAACTAGAAGAAGTAGAACATCAAATAACAATCAGATACACCCAAAACAGTAGAACATCAAACAACAATCAGATGCACCAAAAACAGTTAATGAAAGCAATATTATACTTGATCTTAAAGACAACAAGTTTTCGAGGATTTCACCAATAGACAAAACCATGAGTACTCATCAATTGAATCGATGACACCTTACAATGATAACCTAAACACTACATAACAAACTAGAGGGACCCTTAAACCTGACTAAATTTGACCTTGATCCAAGTAATCAAATTTCTAAAAGAAAATAAAAAAAATGTCAGCAAAGGGGGGAAGAAAGAAAAACAAAATCTCTCAAAATCATTGATGATCTATGGTAAGATGCTAGCATGGCAGACAAAGGTTGTGAGATCAGGGTTCAATTTTAATCACTGTCCACGACATGCTTAGCTTTCTTATTAAGCAAGGGGAGGCTTCCACGCATACTGATAATTTCTCAACATATACAACAACTGATTCATTTACACCAGAAAAAATGGGTCTCATTAATGGAACAACAATGCATGAAAATTCTTTGTTAAGTATTTAGCCAAGCCTAAAGGATTCATCATTTTTTTTTCAAGCAGCGGGATGCGCCATGTCTTCAAAGACAGAAATGATCTCAAAAGCACTTCTCACCGAAGAAATGCCAAATGAAATTGAATATTGTGAAAATTAAGGAGAAAAACGTACCGATGGTTGAGCCGGAGGTGAAGGCAAGGAAGTTTTTGTGCTTAAAATTGCACTGGTGGCCCCAACACCCTGCCGGACAAGAATAAATAAACCAATACATTCACACAAAAGCTGCAAAGCATCTGACATTATCGAATATTATAACATGGCTCTCTTTAAGCAACTAGAAAGACAAAAGAGCAAACAAACTAGTTCACATGAGCCCAAAGTTCACCTGGACAAGCACAAGATACTCAATGGAGTATGCATCACACAAAGCTTTAAAATGTAAAAAGCAAGCCCAAATCAAAGTATTGAGGCAAATTCACCTTCCATGCTAGTAAACATCACAATCATAATTAACGTGTGCCAAAGAATGGGCAAACATCAGAAAATTGGTTTTTACTGGCCATTGCAAAAAACTTTAGGTCTCTCTAGGAAAACAGCTGATTTTGGCATTGCAGTAGCCTTATGCAGACTAAAACAGCCATAGCACAGATAAAACAGAGAGGCCATTTTCCTATCAAAAACCTCGAATCATGTTTGTCGACAAAACCAGATAACCCCACAACCACAACATACTACTGTTTTGTGGCAGAAAGATCTCACCTTAACAAGAGCAGGAGGACCAATTGTAACAAGCTCTTCAATTGACTCCACCTTGTCTAAAGGTAGAGAGTTGTAAAGCTCATCGACATCACTGAACTCTTCAAAGTCCTCCTAAAGAATCAAATGCCAATAAAGAAAACATTCTAGCCATAAGGAGGTCAAAAGAAAATTTTGAAGAAGTCATCTATCATCAAGACATATTGTTGGGCAAGTAAAGAACACCTAAAGATAACATAAAATTAAAAAAGACAAAACTAACACATATGGTTCATTTCTTAATATTGCACTAAAGAAAACTATAATCACACTTTATGAGAAAGAAATAAAGAAATATGTACAAGATAAACCTGATTATATTACATAGCCACTGCTTTATACAAGAAAAACAACAGGATGGTAAAAGAAGAAATTAAACTGGATTAAAGTAAACCTGATTACGTTCCACATAGTCATCCAAGAAATCCTTTACATCGTTGACCTGCTCAGGACTCAATTCATCATTATCCAATAGCCTCAAAATCAATTCTAACTTCATTATATGAGCCTTGTGCCGGCTGATTGACGTCTCTAAATGTGTCTGTAAAATAAAGATCAGGTACCATAAAGCTAAGTAAGTAAGAAATCATGTGCATAGATTGAAGCTGTTTTTTTCTCTGTCCTACCAATCTGAGAGGCCTTGTTTTGCCTTTCTTAACAGAGAGTCCCTCAATTTCGGCTTCAAAGCTATCAATTTGAGATTCCAACTCGCTAACCTACTCAAGGACACATATATGTTACAGAATTATTTAAGGTTATCTTATGATAATAAGAAGAAAATTTGAATTAGAAATGTAAATTGAAATAATTGTACAAGAGAGCCTGCATACATCAAAAAAGATATATTAACATATGGAAAGAAAATTGACAGCATAACTGAAACTCTCTGCTTTTGTAAGCAATATGGAACACAAACTAAACCAATCAGGCATCAGCTAAACATCTAAACAACATAGTATGATCAATCAAACATCCTATCCCCGAAAAGTCATTTGTAAGTAATGGATGACTTTGTACAAGGTGATTTGATTATCCAAACAAAAAGAAATTACAGCTGAAAGCATAATCTCATACCACATTGTTCAACCAATCTCTTGTCTCTGATTTAGCTTTTTCCTTGGGATCCTATCACAAGATAAAAGACAACAAAAATAAATTAAACAAAAGTACAAATCACAGGGTAGACTGCAAAAATCCAAATATTAAAACTTGAGAGTTTCCAAACTGGAAGACAACAGAGCCATAGCATACAAAACATTTAAACCCCTCTATAAATTTATGAGATAGAAATCATAGGACAGTAACAAAAGTTTCTTCATGTCTCTGTCATAGGATCCCCTCAGAGAAAATGTGCAACTTGTTCCTTTTTTTCTATTCTTGCTCTTCTCTTCAGAATGGCATGCACAAAAACTTTCTACTCCAACCATTCTTTTCATAAATTAGTATTGCTATATATAATAAGATGGCTGCAAATTAGCAAACTGTAAAATCGACCGACACTTTTTTTTTTTTTTATTTGGATAAGAAACAACCTGTTTATTTCATAGAAAGTACAAAAAGTACAAAAATCAGCCTCTAATGATTATAAAGTGAAATTAATTGTGTTCAACCACTAAGAAGCACGGACACGGACACGTACACGTCGGGGACACGCCATAGATAATTGTGCTTATCATAATAGTCCATAATCATCAATTTTTTTGTAGACGTGTACTAACCTTATATAATTTAAATAATTACTCTCATTTCTTTGTAGACACGTACACATTGCTCATTTTTTGTTATTATGTGTACAACTTTAGCATGTCTAATCTTTGTACTTATATGTTTTCTCATAATATAAGATCCTTGATAGTCAAATTTTGAAGCTTTGTTAACCACATATCAACACATGTTTATTGTTTAGTAGTAAATACAGTCTAAAGAAGTATCGTGTCCAAAATTAAAATTTTATTATTTAATTATGGAGACGGATAAAAGATTATCGGACACATATCCAAAAGTGTTCAAAGAGTGTCGGTGTTCGACACGGATATGTCACCTTCTTGAGAGTAGCTTATCGATATTAACAGTGATGGAAAATGGGTCTAGGTGAGGTAGACGAGTTGCGCTCAGTTAAAGACCTAAGGAAATGTCATAATGCTATTAGGTTGGGGTGGGTTTAAATCCCAACGCCTCCAGGGATCTAAACTCTGAAATTTTGAATCCAAAGATAATTGGGGGTTTCCATTTCCTTCCAAGAAGCCACCTAGTTTTTTAAAGGGTATGGTTTTTAATGGGCCTACAAACTTAGATGCTATAATGGATGATATGAGGAAGGATTTAAAGGGCAAATAGAGGGCTCCTTGGGGCAAACATATAGTTACCAAAATTTGCTAAATCCCAAAAGACCCACGATAGGTACATCGATCCCAAGCGATATGGGTTTGCGATCTAAATCATTAAAATATATGACCCCAAATTGTAATACTAACCCTATATCAATTCTTTGGGACATGTAGCACAAATATAAAATACATATTAATTGACTGAGTATATAAATTTATAACTATATATTGTTTTAGATAATAGACAATCAAGTACAAATGGAAGATAAATGGTAATTGACTTATAGATGTTCTAGTGTATATAATTGTATAATAATGAAAACGATCTAGATAAAAAAATTTAAATGAATTATGACCTAAAATACCGACTAGCTAAGTCTGCTCGCATCGTACCGTGTACCTAATAAAATATCATACCACGTAGTCGTACCCATACCACATATCAAAGTGGCCTAGCATCTATGAACACTGTTTGAGAAGGATGAATATAGCTCGTGTGGTGAGGTTGGAATCAGAAGGAGCATATGATAGATCGTAGGCATGGGGTGGGATTTAATTGAGAGTTGAAATGGTATTTGGATGACAGGCTCTTGAATAGAATGACTTCAAAACATGAAGATGCTTGGGATGAGATGGGTTTCGAAAGATGTGAGCATCTAAACAACATTGATGCTTTCTCCTATAATGCATGAGTGATGATATTGATGAAGGTTGTTGTCACTCTATTGATGTCTGACTTGGGGAAGATCTGCCCCAAGCAATTTAGAAACTCTATCAACAATCCTAGGTGAGGCATTGTCGGGTATTGATGGGAATTCAAAAGTAGTTGAGTTTGTTATTGGAGTTGAGGAGCTAGTTGGCAAGGAGGTCGAATCCAATGTGATGAATGCTCAAGTATGGTATAGCTTTGATTTATGGTCCAGGAGGTGCCTTAGGCTTCCTTGGGTCACAAAAATATCTCAAATGGGGTTTTCAAAAATCTGGGGAAGGATAGAAAAAATTTGGGTGTGGTGGCATGTCATGGGGAGGGTATTATAAGGCCTTTCTCCGCGTCCATTTCACCCATTGTATTTGAACCTACAAATCCTGTGAAGGGCGATAAAGTTTTGAGCCTTAATTGCCACAAGTGAGGGCTCTACCTAGGAGACCACTAAGGAAATAGGTTTTAACGAATTAATTGGGAAACAACCCCAAGAGACCTTTCTTTAAGTAATGCATTGTTTACTCCATCAAATTATAATAATGAACTTGTTGTGTTATAGGTTAGAAAAGTTTGTGTTCCCATTAAATTTTTTTTTTTTTTTTTGGGGGAGGGGGATGTTTCCCTAATAAAAGAAAGAATGTGTTAGTTCCGGTGTTTTAAAAACTGGCCCGACCCGGTGAACCGGAACCTAGCAAAGCCGGACCAGTTTAGTTATTAGATCGTTCCAACAAATGAATCAGACAAAACCGGATGACCCGGCCGATTTTGTAACAAACTCGCTGAACCGGACGATTTAATTCAAATGCTTTAAAGGACGATTCTAGGGCATTTTTGCCCAAATTTCATTTCATCGTTGTTTTGTTTGCCTTTGCCCTCTGCTTCTACTTGACTCTAACGATCCTCACAAGTCTCTCTCTCTCCCTCTAGCGCTACACTCACTAGCTAAGCACAATAGCACGTCACTCAATTGAAGAATCGAACTACTCAGATACTCAGATCTTCGACTCACAAATCTTCATCTTCTTCATCTTTTAGTCGACAATATGAGGCACATCAAGTATTAGATCTCTCTCTCTCTCTCTCTCCCTCTCCCAATTCTCGATCTCTTATCTCTCTACTATTATATTATATGAATATATGTAGGTTTTGTTTTGGTCTATTTCAAATTTAGTACATTTACCTCAAATTCAGTAAATTTACCTCAGACCTTCAACAACTTGAAGCATATCATTTGGTCTATTTCAGATTTATGTTATATTAATATTATGCTATTATATTATGTTATATGAATATATGTAGGGTTAATCAGATGACCCGTTTCAATAATTATGCAATTCTTGATGCTAAATTTCATTAATTTTGAATCTGATGTTTACAAATCTTTCACAGCATTTTTGAGAAACCCATAACATTTTTCAAAAGTGATGGTGGTTGAGAGTCGTTTCTTTGCGGTTACGGTAAGCAACTCTATTAGTACACAACACTCATTTATAAAAGGCAAATAACTTACTGGTGTGTCCATGTCATGTTGTATCCGTGTCCTGTATTTGTGCTTCTTATGTAAAAATTAAAAGGGGAAGTCTTGAAACTCACTAGTCACAATTGCTCAAAGAGATGCCAACAACTTAACTCTATCCCATAACAACTCCCCAACTTTTTCCTCAAAAGAATCGGCAATTTCTTCCTATCCCGTACTACCCGAGATAATTCCATAAAAACAAATGGCGATAAAATTAGAGACCTTCTGTTTTCCCAAAGCCATAAAAACGCTCATCAAGTAAAGACAAAACATCTTGTGGAATCACCCACAAATAACTTGTCAAAGTTGTATTGCTCCAGATATGGATTCTAATTCGTGGAACATGAAATAAGATTGGAAAGAAAAATAAATCCAGAAAGACAGTAAGTTTGCTTAAGCTGCCAACAATTTCACATATTGGTTTAGTGACAATAGAAAACAATGCAGTGTAATGCTTACTGTTTTTGGCTGTTGACCCAGGCCTTCTTTGGAGAATGCTTTTGTTTTCGTTTCCTTTTCACATATCTTAAATCGCTCCATTTCACGCTCGATTTGCTTGCGAGCGTCCATCAAAGCCTGCTCATAAGAGGCACTAACCTATGTCAACATATGTCAACAGAAAAATTTATTGTCAACTTTGGGAGACACATTAGAGTATAATATAATCATAATCAATATTGTTTCAGTTATTGTTTCAGGAATGATGACTGATGCAAAAAAAAAAAAAGCTCAACAAGAAATGGATGATAACAAAGAAAGGTATTGAGAAAAAAATAGCAAAAAAAGAACCAGCACAGACATGCAACCTATTTTAAGTAAGTGCACAGATGTATGACTTGAATATTACCAATTTGGTTAATGATGCAGATGAATAAGGACAAAAAATGAATGTATGAGTCTAACCCTCGTATCTTTTCCACTGTCAAAGAAAGCTATTGCTACATGTAAGTTGATAGACCTATCTCATAGACCAACCAACAAGCAATTCATTGACATAGTAATGTTTAGACAAAACGTCCAGCTGCTCAATTTGTTTCCCAATGTAAAACAACACTACAGAATGTCTACAAGGCAGACTCATCCACAAAGGAAGCATACACAAAACAAAAGAAAACCAAGATACCCTAAACAAAAAACTTAAAAGACCAAAAGAGCCAAGTATCAGATAAAATGAGAGCTTCATATGCTCAAACGGTGACAACCATACATCCCCAAGCAACCCCATAAAATAACAAATAAAACATTTCCTTGTTGAAGAAGACTCACAAGAGTCCTATTAGACTTGCAGAAGTCCAAGGTCGAATCTCCTCAATACTAAAACTACTTTCATAATTCATACCTTATCCTCGCTTCTCAAAGTCGCACTACTTCTAGCACATTAATCTTTCACGGAAGACTTCACCACCCCACCACACTTTGAAGCATACAAAGCCTTAATCATAAATGAGAATCTGCTTTGTCCCATCACTCCAAGTATTCTGCTGCTCCCTTCCTAATTCACCGTATTTGTTAGCTTATTTAATTCCGTAGCTTGTTTCAACGCCGAACCCTTCTCCCTCTTCTTGGACTCTTTACTCTCTCAAACACATCCATCTCTCGATATCTTCAAACAACTTCAAGGCATCTTCCCCTTGTCTTTCAAACAATAGGCCTAGGTTGTATAAACCCACCTTGCATTGCCTACCACCCAATCATAAACCTTACCGGCCTTCTTAAATATCCCCTCCCCTCTGGAACAGCCATTGCTAATGAAAAGCAATTCAATGATTTTTGTCCCCTTCATCCAATGTCTCCACTTTCACTTACTTTCCAATGCATTAGTACCACATATTGGTTATCTATCATAGTTCCGGACTCTCCCTTACACTCTACTAATGAAAGACTGTTTTCTTGGAGTCCTTCTAGCTTCCGTGCATCATCACCAAAGGTCCCTGCACAAGCAATCTTCCATACATAAGAATCATCCTCCCAATTAGACTTTAGGTCCCCTCCCAACCTACCTGCTTTAAAACCCTCATCCCGCCTCTTTTTCTCTATTCTCCTTTTTTAGTCAATAAGTAAAAGTATGCACCAAAATGGGTCATTGCACCAACATGCGTCATTGCCTTATGGCGTGGTTAAAGAGTCCAGCTAATAACCAAGAGTTTATGGATTAAAAGCTAGGAACAAACAATTTGTGAAAATAATGTCAAATATTAGGTTAGTAGAGTCCACCCCGCTTGGCGGTTAGCACCCTCTATTGACGAAGACCAAATTGATGACGACTTTTTACAAAAAAAAAATTTATATAAAATGCCCAAGGGGGCACTAACCATCAAACTATCATAGAAAGATCTGAATTAATAGACCAAGGATACTCTTTATTACACCAAAGGGAAATCAGACTAAACCCCCCCCAACAGATCTCCTATTCTTATCCCCGCCCCCCAAATCAACCCGATCAAGAGTCCTATCGCACCACTTGCAAATCCTCTTCAAAACACATATCCCTCTCAAATTAATAAGCAACTTCGCACGGGGCCGAAGCCAAACATATTCCCCAATGGGGGCAACAATTAAAATTCTAAATGTTCACAAAAATATAGTTTCATCAATAGAACACTAATTAAAGGCACAACCCATATAAATGAGTGATATACAAAAAGAGCCAACAAAAATAGTTCCCTATAAATTTATCTATAAGACCTAACAAAAAAAATTTCAACCAAAAAATTAGGCTCAATCATATATTGAGTCTATACATGGGAGCATCCAAATTTTCGACCATCCTATAAATATTCATAGTTGTTCCCGATGAGATTTCAGATTTTGAAAGCATTGTACAATAATTTCACTATCAATAATACTTAAAAAAAAATTATTGACATATGTAACCAAGCAATCGTTCATCCATAGATCTCCCATTCAATTGCACAATAAATTTTTAAAAATTAATTTACTCAGTCAAAACTTAGTATTCATCAGTGAATTTTAACAAACAATAGAAACTAACTTAAAACTATGACTATTTTATTAAACTAAACCTATATATAGGAATTACTTGACCTATCACAATAAAATTATTCAAACCACTAAATTAAAACTATTTAATCTACCACATAATGGAGGACAACACGCCTCAATTCTAATTCAACATATAAAAATAAAACAAAAGAGAAAACTACAAGCCCCAATATCAATTAAATATATAAAAAAAATAAATCATAGAAGAGAACTACAAGCCCCAATTTTATTTCAACATAAAAAAATAAATATTGGACTACAAGCCCCAATTTTAATTCAATACATAAAACAATAAAACACTGAGAGAACTACAAGCCCCATAAATTTTTTAAACTTTTGAGTAGGGGCAAATGTCAAATAAATTCTAAATTTTTGAAATTATATTTATGCCTCAAAAGTTATAAAATTCTAGTGGGGGCTATGGATCCGCCACTGACTTTACAACACATCCCTCTCCGATTACTATGCAACTCCTTATCTAAGCAAGGCCTTGCCCTTTAACACTAAGAAGGGTAGATAAAGCACAAAACATCCCCCAAGCCACCTACAGTGCAAAAGCTCATATTTCTAGCAAAGTAAGTTCAAACTTCTCAAAAACTAGTGCAACTAGTTAGGAAAGTGCACAAGGCACACGATGTGGTGAGGGAGATAAACAACAAATACATACGAGATCAGCAAGAAGAGCAAGGATGGACACTAACATTGTGTTTGGTACACTGTAATGCTTTTACAAGAAAATGAAATCAAAGTGGGGATAGAATCAAGGTAGGAATGAAATGAAATGCATATTACTATTCCAATGTTTGGTAACAATTAGGATTAAATGATGAAATAAAATTGAAAATATTATGACATAAGCTTTTGTGGGAGGCAGATTTGGCATGGGTCACACCGCGTTATTGTGTTTCTCATTTGGTGATGCAATTTAATGGTTTTGAAATTGGAAAAAGAGCTTCAACTTCATGGAAGTGTGCAGTTATGACTATTTTTTGGATGGAATGGATAGAGAGGAATCATAGAATCTTTGATGATAAGGAGAACGATAGGGAATTGCTTTGGGATAGAGTGAAGTTTTTGGCATCTTTATGGTTTGTGGTTACCAATAATTTTCTTGAAAGTTCTCTATTAGTTCTCCAACTTAATTGGAAAGTTGTTTACAGCTCATAGTGACCGTTTACTGGCTTTGACTTTTACTTTTTTGGTGGACTTCTTTTCCATTATTTATATACTTTTATATCTTTCAAAGAAATGAAAATTTTGTTTCTTATCAACAGAATAGAATTGAAAATCCACACAAATATATAAATAAATAAATATTTGAAAAATCTTAGAACCAATCCTAGCCATAGCCCCAAACCTGAACCTAACCCCAATCTCGACCTTGGTGGTGGTGGGGGTGGTGTCGTGGTGGTAGTTGTGGTGGTGGTGATAAGTGATGATAGTTGGGAATAAGAGATTCCACCAAATATTGAGGAATGACAAATCCTATGTTGATAGGATTAGGCATTCCATGAGAATAGGAATGAATTGTCATTACTACATACCAAACATTGGAATGAACATTACTAGGTAATGGTCATTCCATTCCCATGCTTAAACTATAGAATTGATCTTTAATCTAATCATCAATAAAGAAAACCCTAAAATTCCGAATAAGGGGTAAAAGTTAAAACATCAAAGCACGTTATGGAGATGCACTAATGTTATATGTGGAAACAAGAGATGGGAACAATATACTTCAAAGAAAATTTCATGAATCTCTTCTGAATGGTGGAAAACTTGCAACTATAACATACAAAAATAGGGTAAATCAGCTTCTTATAATGAGATATATTACATTCCAATTACTACTCTTTTTTCTTTGCGTTCAGTATTTTCTAGAATAATATAGGACTTCATCTAATCGTAGTTCAAATTCAAGTTGGCTTAGTGTGAGCGACCATTAAAAGTTGAAACATTGAATCTATGGTAAAATTACTCGAGCATGCACAAAAATCGATAGTCGGCAGAACTTGCTTTTGATATTCCCATCCTCTCTCTCTCTCTCAATCAACTTCTAGTTGAATACATACAAATTTTATATGTTTTCCTTACTTTCTAAACATTAATCCAAATATGAAGAGAAGAAGATTATAGTACCAACAATCCATTTATCTCCTATTCATAAACCTCTTTATCATCACATCTTGTTTTTTGAATATTTATTTCCAATTTATGATTAAATGCCTCAACAATTGCTTTTCCAAGTAAACTTATCAAAAAGTAAAATTCAACATGAAATCTTTGAATGAGGTGTTTGAATTGTGAATCAAAAGGCATAATACTACAAATTCTGCCCTTTTGACCAGTACAAATATGAGAGATGATTAAATAATGATAAAAAAGAACAAATAGACCAACAATATATATAAAACTCTTCTTCAACATTTCAAAGGAATAGCAAACCTGTAAATTTTTGACTGATTTGAATTATAGATGTGCACCAAAACGGGCATAACATTATACACAATATATATATATATATATATATATATATATATATATATATATATATATAGTGACTGATTATAAAGATGACTCTAGCAATAGCTTCTTCTAGACCTGTTTTGATGCTTCTGTGGCAGTTCCAAGCAACTCCCTATACTCAAACTAGATTTGCAATAAGATTAAAGACATATCAATGAAACCACTTCAACACAATCACCGGGGTGCTCATTTAGTGAACTAAACATACAATGTACCAAATGCACTTTAGTATTAAGAAATAGATTGCCTAGTACTAACAATAGAGGGACAGACCTTCTTATCCTTGATCTCGCTGGACTGAATCCATGTTTTGATCTGGTCTCTATACCTCTGAAGTTTTTTGATCTCCTTCTTCAAATCTGCCTCAAACTTCTCCTTCTGATTAGCATTGTCAGTATCATAAACCTGAAATTCTCCGGAAACAAAAGCCCAAAGGAGAGTGAATTAAATTAAACAATAAACTAACTGGAAACCAAAGAATAGATCAGAAGAGGCGAGAAGAAACCTTGTTCCAAATGCTATCGAAGATATCAACGCCCTCCTGGACCTTCTTCAGAACTCGATCGATCTCGCCCTGTAGCTTTCGACTAGCCCCCATTGTGATAAAGGAGATGAAGAATTGAGCAGAATAGGGAAATTATTCATCCAAATCCTAACCCTACAGGGATTTTCTAATGTAGAAAGAGGAATAGAAGGATCCGCGGATAAGATTTTTTTTATCGTCTCTGGTTTTGGTAGGGTTTTCGATACGAGGATGGAGGGACGGAGAGAGACGGAGAGGAAAGTTGCTCGAGAGGAAAG